GACATTATTGACTAATACTTCAGCTACAGTCGATGCTTCTTGGTTTGGAATGGCAAAAACTTCTGGCCATTTACTGAAATAATCCATCGCCACTAAAACGTACTTGTTGCCCTTGTGCGTTTCAGGGAATGGGCCTGCAATGTCAACAGCGATTCTTTCGAATGGCAGTCCAACGTTATATTGTTTCATTTTTCCCCTAGATCGAGTGCTTGGTCCTTGGCTGGCTGCACAAATTTTACATTGTCGACACCATTTCTTGACATCTTCGCAATAATCCACCCAGTAAAAGCGATCTCTCAGCTTGCTCAAGGTCTTGTTTACCCCAAGATGGGCTCCAGTTTTACCACCGTGAATTTCTTCCAATACCTGGGTAACTTTCTTCCTTGGTACCAGTAACTGAGTTGTTACTGTGCTGCCATCCGCACTTTCCCATGTGCGCTTTAACAATCCATTCTCAATAACCAGTGAATTCCACTGAGCCCAGAGAGCTTTGAAAACGAGCCCTCTGTCCGCAATATCCTGCCACGGTGGTCTCTCGCCGTTACCTTCCTTGAGCCGTAGTATTGCTCCGATGTCTGGATCTTCCATTTGATCTTTCCTCAATTGTGTCGTCGTCCACTGTTCATCGGTTCCAAGTTTAAACTCCTTATCATGACAGTGCCTTCACGTTGTTCCGTTTTACAGCAGTGCTTACAATCGGTTTGACAGGGTCTTCTGGATAAACCGTCTGCGTTACCATGCATTTTTCCAGCACGATGTTGGATGGTAAAGTGATACTGTTGGAGCTTCTCGAGCCATCGTGCTATTTGACCTTCAGGTTGTTTCATCTCCATAAGCCACTTGAGAGCCGCATGATCTGTCCTAATTAAAAATTCTTGGCCGTACAGATATTTATGAAAATGATCAACTGCCTTCACAATTGCTAGCAGCTCCTTCCGGGTAACGCAGTAATTCCTTTCTGGTTTGGATAGAACTCGACTGTAATATTCTATCACTCGTTCTTCGCCATCTTGCACTTGTGATAGCACTGCACCTATGCCGATATTGCTGGCGTCGGTATCCAGGATATACCTCCCTTGTTGTTGCGGGTAGGCTAGAATAGGACTTGAACATAAAGCCGCCTTAAGTCTTCCAAAGGCTACATCACAATCGGTGTTCCATTCGTAGCCGACTTCATCACCTGTAAGTCTATGTAAGGGTGCAGCTATATTGGCAAATCCCTTGACAAATCTTCTGTAATAGGTGCATAAACCCAGAAAACTTCTAAGTTCATGTTTGTCGCGAGTTTAGGCCAATCCTTGATCGCAGCGATTTCTTCTGGTCGGTGTAAATTCCGTCTGCCGAGACTACATGACCCAAGAATTCCACTTGTCGCTGGAATAAGCTACACTTCTTCGGGTTCAAGTACAGGTGAGCATTCCGTATGCGGCCAAAGGAAACTTCTTCTAAATTTCGCAAATGCTCCTCAAAAGTTCTTCCCATAACCAATACATCGTCGAGGTAAACCAAGCACGTTTTCCAAGTTAATCCTCTTAACACCACCTCCATGAGACGTTCGAAAGTGGCTGGAGCATTGCATAATCCAAACGGCATGACCTTGAATTGGTATAGTCCGTTTCCTGTAGAAAAAGCCGTCTTTTCTTTGTCTTCCTCGTCCAGACCAACTTGCCAGTATCCACTCTTTAAGTCGAGAGTGGAGAACCAGCACGAACCTGCCAGTGTGGTTAACGTGTCGTCTATACGTGGCAGTGGGTAGCTGTCCTTCTTAGTGACGTCATTGAGCTTCCGATAGTCCACGCAGAATCGTGTACTACCATCTTTCTTCGTCACCAAAACAACAGGAGATGACCATGGACTCGATGATTCTTCGATAACTCCATCTTCTAGCATCTTATCTACCATTGTCTCCATTTCTTGTTGTTTTGAAAGGGGCACCCTTCTAGGACGTTGTCGAATTGGCTGAGCATGACCAGTATTAATCCGGTGCTTCACAAAATCCGTTCTTCCACTGTTGTTCTTCTCAAAAATACTGCCATGCTTAAGCAGGAACTGCTTGGCCTTCTGTTTCTCCTCAGGTGTTAAGTGATCCCATGGCTGTTCTAGATGTTTTAGTGTTTCTTTGGATGCCTTTTGTGTAACAGCTGACGACACTTCATCACATCGGGTGACACTTCTTACAGGTTCGCAGATGGCTATCTTGTCACCTTTTTGGATCTTGACACAATTCGGGAAAACATTCGCAATTCTGATCGGTATATTCTTGTCGGTGTTAACCAATGATTTTCCTACTAAGTACCTATCCTGTTTGTTGTCGCTACTTTGTACCAGTCCAACACAGCACCCAGCGATTTTCTCCACTTTACCGAATATGATCTTCTCGGTATTACCAGGTATCACCACAGTTTCCGCTGATCTTACATCCATTCTTCCTGGTCCCTCGTCTGGAGATAACATAAACTCTTCGTTTCCGATATTTAGGATATTTCTTTGGTGATCGAACGAAAATCCATGTTGACGAATCACATCCATGCCCAAGATGAAGTCATCTTCAATATCTGCCACTAAAACGCTATGCTGGAACTTCAAATTTCCTAACTTCAGTTCGACGATAGCCTCTCCCCGTACAACGGCCATTTCCCCCGTAACTGTACGTAAACACACTCTTCTTCTCAGAGGCATCAGCTTCAACCCTTGCACTGAGTTAGCCCGCACCAACGATACCATAGCGCCAGTGTCCACTGTCATTCGGATTCTCCTACCATTGACCTTCCCGTCGATCACTAAACTGTCAGCGGTTCTTCCCAGACTCCTAATGGAAAAATCCTGGGGGCTCTGTTCTCCCCAGTCAATACTCGCCCCTTAGTATTGACTGATTTTAGTTTTCCTGGTGCCTACGTTCTCTGGATGGTGAACGGGATCGCATTTGAACGCGGCAATCCTGTTTGATGTGGCCATTCCTGCCACATCTAAAGCACCTTATGTCCTGTGATCTTCTATAGCTCTCTGTCTGGGTGTTGTTGCTACTCTTGTTCACTAGTAACTCACATAGTTTACTAAACATCTCCTCCAAACGTATGTGAGAACTTCCGGGCTGTTCCTCAACCGTTACCGATCTTATCTTCGGTCTAGGGATGGTGCTAAAAGCAGCTTCAATTTCCAGCGCCCTGACCAGTGCTTCGCTGCTGGTAGAAAATCGGGATATTTGCAGCGCCCTCTGCAATTCGTTGTCCCTCAGTCCGCTGATAAAGCACTGAGCAGCCAGTTCTTCCCTAAATCCTTCCGGTGCTTCTGGATACGCTAGGTGTACCAGGCGACGTAAGTCTGCTTCGAATTCCTGCAGACTCTCTCCGGACCTCTGCAGGCGTGTCTTGATTTGGGCCTGGTAAAGTTGACGTCGATGTTGGTCGCCATATCTTCTGTCCAGTGCAGCAACCAATGTTTCGTATTCCTGCTGTTGGGCTGCAGGAATAGTTTGCAGCAGTTCCAAGGCAGGGCCACGCAGCGCGATGACAAGTGCCGCTGCTTTGTCCTGGTCGGACCATCCGTTGGCAGCGGCGGCTGCTTCAAACTGGCGGTGGTACATCGTCCAGGTGGTTTGTCCATCGTAGGTCGGGGCCTTGAGGTTTGTAGTTCCAGGAACGCCAGGTGTCCTTGCTTGTGCCTTGGTCTTCTGTAGGTCCTTCTCTAATTTTTCCATTTTCTGTTGAAGTCGCTCCTCCAGATCTTCTACGGCTTCTTGAAGGTGTATTTCTTGTCTTTTTTCCAGATCTTCGAAGTTCTTTTTAAGACGATTTTGATCTTCTTGTCTTTCTCTATGACGTCGCTCCTCCAAACGAATTTCTAAATTACCTAATATTTTCTCAAGTCGGTCCTGTTCTTCTTGTTTATCTTGTTGTCGTTGAATTTTTAAATCTTCAAAAATTCTCTCAAGCCGGTCCTGTTCTTCTTGTTTGTCTTGTTGTCGTTGAATTTTCAAATCTTCGAAAATGTTCTCAAGCCGGTCCTGTTTAATTTCTTGATTTTCTAGAATTTTCAGTAAGCGGTCTTGTTCTTCTGCTTTCTCTTTTTCTAGTCGGGCTCGCTCTTCTTCTCGTTCTTTACGGAGTCTTTCTTGCTCTTCTGCTTTTCTTTCTCAGCCTCTCTTGTTCTTCTGCCTTTTCTCTTCTCATATTCTCCATAAAATCGCCCAATAATTTGCTTACTTCCTCCATTTTCTTCGCTTTCTGTCTCGTACCAACCATAAAAATTCCCAAATTCGGTGTAAAAATCGTCCAATCCACTTAATTTCTTCTTAAAATCCTCATGAATCCCACTTCTGACACCAATTGTTACGGATTCCGTGGGTCCACTATTTAAACTCACGATAAAATACTTAACGAATTTATTTTCTCACTTTATACACAATTACTAACTTATAACACACAACAAACTAACTATTTATAAGATTCCTTCACCAAATTGTCCGATTTTCAATTTCCACGCGGTATATTCAAATTTCAAAAAACTGTCTCAGTGGTCGATGGCTCCGGCTTATATACTCTATTGACTGCTTCTCGAAATTTCCCCAATTCTCGGAAAGCGTACTTCTTCATACCAGACAATTCTATTGTCTGATTCCCTTACTTCTCGACTTGACTAAAAGATGGCGCCTGAAAAAGTCTTTTAATTTCTGGCGGATACGTTGCGGTTGTGCAGGCAACCAGTAATACATTTTTAATTTCTGGCGGATAGGCCATTTTTCTTGACAGTATTATACTGAAAAATATAAATTATACTAGTTATTTAAAGATTTTCTATTTAGAAAGGGCTTCTATTAAAAATCTATTAAAAGAAGTGTACGACTTGCAAGAGTCTTGCAACATGGCCAAGACTAAACTCTATAAGACCTAGACCAAGGGAGTCTTGGTCTTGCATTTACTCACCACTACTTCTAGAATAAAGGACAATCGTATGAATTAACACCGATGTACTTTTACTTAATATCTCTTTATTTCTCTTAGTGACGAAGGCGACACTTCCAGCAGCAGCGACGAGGTTGGCCGCGACGACAAGGATGAAGAAAAAGAATCCTCCCTGCCCAATCCACCACCACCATCACCAGCCGTCGTCCAGAAACGTCAGTCGAGACCCCCGAAGTCCTCGCCAGGCTCGAGACCCAAGGTCCAGGTGACGTCACGGAGTCCGGGAGCGCCCTCGCGGAAACCGTTGCCGGTGAATAGAAAATACGATTTAGAGATTAGAGAGTACACGCACGACGAGATCGATCACCCGGAGTGGGACAGGGGCGAGTTCAGGGAGCAGAGGGTGATCTGGCGCAAGCCGGGCGCGGCACAGAGTGTTTGCGTGGTTGATTTGGCACGGGGTGCGCACGTAGGGCATGTTAGTTAGCACTGAAACGGATAAAGGTGCTCATTCACATACAGTTCGCCGGCAGTCCAGAACTGTCGATTTGCATATCGTCAGTTAAGATTTTCCCATACACATATACATTGAAAAGTTAATTTGTGAATTTAATAACAATATTGATGGTTATTTCTTGCCACAGATTATTGTAGTAAATTTACCATCCGTTCTAGTTTTACAACTCGTTTGTAAAATCGCTGTATGACTAATTTGTGTAAATATTCTTTGTGAATTTATGTAAAAAATGTGTATCTAATAGTAAATTTACTTATTCATTATAAATTTATCTTTTAAAATCGCCAACTTCTTGTACTATTACTATAGAGTAGCAACAGATTTAAATATTTTATTATAGCGAATTTGCAATTACTTTTGTAAATTCACAAAGCGAATTTACAATTACTTAGTTTTTTTCTAAAAATAAAGCGTTAGTAAATATTAATAAATTTAATAAAACACGTATTTATAAATATAATATTTATTATAAAGGTTAATAAAAATTCAAAAAACAGAACTTATGTATGTAAGATACTTTATATCATCTCTTCTTGTCTAGAAGAACCTTACTGGAATTCTGGGCCTAACTAAACTGGGAACAAAATTGCCATTAGATATAAAAAAAACATGCAAGAAAAAGGTATCTAATCTAAAAACAGTCAACTTACCAACTTAGAGACTGTGGTTGCATAGAGTCCTCTAGTCCGGTCCTCTATTAAATATCCTCCAAAATACAGTCTGAAAGAATAAATTATACTTAGAGATGTGTTGATATAAAGAGATCATGGAACATGTTCTATGTTTACATAAAATAATCGCTAAAATTATTATGCAAATAATTATAATAAATGGAGATTGTATTTTCTACGAGATTTGGATTTATATTTACCGAATCTACATACAAACATAATTAATATAATATACTTACCCATAAATTATAAAAACACTAATCACCCACGCCCTGAGACTTTTTCCTGAACTGCGCATCAGCTTTACAAGAAGTCACGTGACGTGGCGTTATTTTTTACTAAATATATTATGGTAAATTTACACAAGGTTTTGTGAATATGTCTACACACATGCAATTTTACTACAAGATTGTATTTCTAATTTAAATTTAATTTTTAAACTCACTAAATTCATTGTGAAAATAATATCCTTCTATAATAATCATTTAATATTAATAAACTGTTTTGAAAAAATTACATTTTTTTGTGAATATACTTAGGAACTTAAAAAGCGCGAAAATCAAAGCGTTCAGGTGAAGTTTTTTTGTATTTTTGTTTGATATTAAGGGCTGAACCATCTTTAAAAGTTCGTTAAAAGATGTGTTATCTATTCTGAAGTAATTTTTAAGATCATCTGTTGCATTAGTTCCTAATTTTCGCACTTACTACATATGGGATAATGAATCACATTGTAACAACCAATCCTTCATATAGAAACGCTTTTTTTGTCTTTGTAATTGGCCATTGCAATAACAAAAGCAAGAGAGGTATATTTTTTGTATTTAAAAGCGTTCACTTCAAGATCATTCGATTAAAACTGACAATATGTTTGTGTGTGTGGTGAAAGCACAGTTTTCCTTCAATTCAAAAACTGACAGGCCCTAAGCTGAAGATTGCATCGTAACATCGTTGACGTAACCCTGTTTGACGTAACTGCATTGTGTGTGGCCTGACAAAATTTAGATCTTCAGTTCAGATCACAGACCAAAAACATTTAGATTGGCAACTCTCGTCATTTATCGAGAACGCGTTTTACAGCGCTCGGTGACTTGAAGATGTACTAAATCTTCATTTGTCTCGCCAGGTACTGGGAATTTAGAATTTGAAATTGAATTGCATTATTGCTTTTTTACCAAACGTGAAAGAATTAATACTGTTTTTTTTTAGTATTCTGTAAAATATAACTTTTATTTTACAGAAAACTAAAAAAAAAACAGTATTAATTCTTTCACGTTTAGAAAAAAGCAATATGTATATAATATTTCTAATAAGACTGATACGGAACAATAATACAAAAACCAATATGAAACACAAAAATTTTATTAAAAATCATCAAATAATACTATAATAGTATCCATTCAACATTTGAATAAAAAATAATTCGTTATATAGATTAGTACCTTACGTTATATACATACACATTATACAGACATTTTACATTATAATATAAACAATATTTATCAACAAAAGCAATAAAAACATTAAACTTTATAAAGGGACTTGTTTAATTTTATTTAAGGCTTTTATGTTTTACTTTATTTTTTTAAAATACTTCAAATGCAAGTTTTTTTAGAGGATCTCCTGGACTTGCATAACCCTGAAAAAATACTACATATACGAATTTTTAAACGGGTCAAAAACATAAGTACACTTACCTCTTTATCCATTGGCATACTATGTAAAATCGACGATCTACTAGAGGATTTACAGCCCAACACACAGCAATATAACACCATTTTTAAAAAGTCAACACAATAACACTTCGTAACAATTACAAAAATTTAGATCGAACCACGAACAAGCCCAAAAGACGACGGGGATAGACTGAAGAATTTTAAAATTCAGCCGGTCGCTCCTCTTTTGAGCCGTACCAATCATAAAACAGAAAAATTCTTATTGACTGTCGCTTTCTCCCGCCAGGCGACACTAGCGCACGGTGTCTTGAAGTCGTACTAATTTCGTGGTTTGACGTTTCGCGGAGAGTGCGCAGGGCCTGGTTCAGATCGTACAGTCATAGAGACCTAGAACTGCGAACTGTATGTGAATGGGCAAGAGTTTTTTTGTGTAGTATTAAAAGTATGGTTTCCAGGAAATAATAGCTGTTTAAGTAGGATATATGATACTGGTGGAGATTTGATAGAACAATACTCGTTTTATAATAGTTAGATTTAGGTTATGTTGTGAACATTATTATGTTATGTTGTTGAAATTCTCCAGCTAGAAAGATCATCGATTCAAGTCAATGTCGTTTTGTAATCGACCTAATTGGTAATAAAATACCAAAATCTGCATTCTCTTTTATTTTTTAATAGGTTTGCTTTAATATTATATTTTCATGAAGTTGCTGTGCTGCTGACGTTACTACGTTTATTAATAGATTTTTTTATATATTGTTCCCTGATATCTAATAGTAAAAGCTAAAATTATTTTATTCTGTCACTGTTTTAAGCGAATGTCTCGTTTTTGATACACCTTGTGAAAAAAATTGATTATTTTCTGTCATTATAAAAAATAAAATAAAAAATGAAAGTCCCAGTATAAGAGAACTGGGTATTTTATTTATTTTATTTACCATTTAACATTGAATCACACTGGTTTTTCTATACAGGGTGTTTCAAAAACATGTGCCATCTCTTGTTACAAGAATTATTTTTCATATCACATTCACGTTCCGATTTTGATTGGTTCCGTAGCTTAATGGATTAAAGTCTTTATTTTGTTTTGATTTAGTATAATTTTCTTCCAAGTGCTTTTAGCGATTCGAATGAAATTTTGAGGGTAAAATTTACTATAAGTGCTATATATTTCAATGCTAAAAAAGTGTCAACAGATTTACCAGGGACGTGCATATGGGTTATCACTGTAATATGTTTGTAACAAAACATGTGCGCCACTATTTTTTTTTTCTTTTGTTAGCAAAATTGTGTAAGCCATCTAATGCCGGTTAAAAGTTCTATCTCGATATTTTGTCCATTTCGATAACTTCGATGGGATAAACGTAATTTTATTAATCACTATTAACATAATTAAAATAAAAATAGGATTAATAAATTATCTATTTAATCTAATTTATATTATTTTTTTTTTTAATTTATAACACTGACGTAACAGTAAATACAGCAAAAAAATAATGGGAAAAATAAATCTAATTTTTACGAGAGGAATCTCCCCCCGAGAGATGGCACATGTTTTTGAAACACCCTGTATATGTATTTTTATGAATGAAAGTTATGGATAAGTAAAAATATCATCTTCATAACTAAAATTCTAATATAAGATCCCTGAATAATACTTCTTAATAAAATTTGTTAAATAAACATTCATGATTATAATAAATATTATTTGGCAAAGGTATTTTTTATTTTAATATTGCCCCTTGATTTCAAAATTAACACTACCCCATTTAGTCTTTCTAAGAAGTAAACCGTAATCGAAATAAAAGAATAATACCGTATGATCGAAAAAAAAACGGCGTCAGAGACGGCTGGGAAATCACCATCGGTGATAATTTTCACGACATAAAACATATAAAAAATTATCACTAATTATTAAGATGAATTTTCAAGAAATTATTTTTCTTTCTCCAATTTTAAACTACACCATTTAAAAATTACTTTTAATCAATATTAAAGTTATTACCACAGATTATACAGATTATAATCTTTGTTTTTTCTTTATTGTTTTTCGTGGTTCCAATTTTCGGAATCGGACACTAGTTAGGTGACTAGTTTGCGCACATAGCACACCCACTTATGGCCTCTAAAATTGTGCACAGCGCCTGACCGGCACAGTTATTAGAGAGATATCGGAAAACCGAATAGCGTCATCCAGTATTTACGCGTACCTTATCATGGTTACGATATGCGCGAGTCAATTTTTAACGCAACACCCGCTAATAACGTTTCCGCCTGACGTAATTTGCGGATCAATTACACCAAGCGCTATTTCTAAATAACGTTTAAAAATTGCTTAAATGGGCATGTGCGGGTATTTGACAACCGGGGCCGGCAGGCGAGATCTTTTATTTTAGGTTATGTTTGAATTGTTTTGAATTATTACTTTAGTTTTATTAGGTAATTTGATATTTAAGTAGCTGGGATTAGTTTTAATTTAATAAATATGGCCCAAAATATGGATTCCACCTCTTCTAATATTAAAGAACCTATAAAGAGGCTTAGGTGTACAGCAGATGACGACTTAGCCCTTCTAAGAGAATTTGTTGCTTGTTGCCCTAAACCTACTGGCAGACGTTGAACAATAAAGCACTGGAAATAAGCACTTTAGCCCTTTAGTTTTAAAATACCTAGTAAACAAAACAATTTCAAAGTTTTAAATTCAAAGTTAGGTTAAGTTTAAATAGCGGACGCGACGCGATCAGAATTCTTTCCGATCCGATAACTATAAACGAAGAGAGTTAATACCACCTCACTTAAAGGAAATAACACCTGGCCTTATTAACGTCCATGCACGCTATTCGGTTTAGCGATATCTCTCTATTACGCTGGTTATTGTTATTTCACACGAGTTTATTTTTGCGCACAGGAAATTTGACTCGTTTGCACATCATCATAAAAAACAACTTTCGTACCACCAATTAGGGACAAGATTTTTATCTGTATACTTATAGGATACCTAATCTGTGTTATTACCTTCTTAAGGTCAACTGGCAGTAAGCTGGGATATGATCTTAACCAGCCCAGCCGTATTTAACGCCGTTTTTTTTTTCTATCGTGTGGTATTACATAAGAGAGAATATCTTGCTTTAATTCAAAGGTATATTATTTTAGTATTTTTTATTTTGTCTCTCAAGATCATATTATGAATATATATGATCAACATCGAACGCAACGATATATTATGATCAACATCGAACGCAAACAAGGTTTTCTTAAACTATGAGCATGGAATCACTTGCGTTGTTTAACTCCCAGTTTGCCACTCTTTGCCACCACATTTTTCTTATCTTATCAATAAAAAGTTATTGTATTTTTTACATGTTTTTGGTCATTCGTTTGGCTGTACTTTGCTGTATTATAGCTACACAGGTGGCAAATGACAATAAAATACGGGAAAAGCTGGCAAAAGACGGCAAAACACAATAAAAGTTATTAAAAACCAGCACTCCTATTTGGTAATAATCCATAAAACTTTTCGAGTTTAAAGTGTTCAAAGTTATCAAATATTATTATTTATAATGTTTATGTGAAGAAATTAAATTAACCTGTATTAAAACTTTAAGTAATTAAAAAAATAATTGATTCCGAAAAGTCAATTAAAATACGGCTTTGCCCTACTTAGAAAAATGTTCTTATATCAGAACATTTTTCTAAGTAGGGCAAGTAGGGCAGTATGTAAATCAAATTCAAATAGACAATAGTATAGTTTGTCAATTATTCTTAGTTAAGTCACTTACATCTACATTTAGTATTTATTATCATTTTAGATATGCAAAGCAACCCTAAAGCTGTCCTTGTCGGATAAAGAATATCTTGACAGTAGTTCTGAGAGCGAAGAAGACGAAAAAATAATCAAAACAAAAATCAAATTTTTTCGAAAGAAAAGAAAGAAGAAAAAAGTTGTTAGGAAGCGATCAGAGGTAAATATAAAAACAAAGTTTTGTAAATTTCATAAATATTTTTTTACTTAAAGTAAATGTGACTTATTTCATTTCAGGCTCTTAGAGAACATTCAGATAGCGAAGTGTCATACAAGAAAACGACGACAAGTTTGTCCGTGTTCGATCTCATAGCGAACGAGAAAATCCCTTGTCCGATTTTAACTCAAAGATCTAGAACGCCACAACCAAAGTAAGAAAGTTTATAATTTATTCAAGCTCTTAAAAACACAGGAGTCCTTCTTTTCCTTATAGTAAAGGCCCCCACAGACGTCCTTCTTTTTCGGCAGGATTACTCGACGTGCAAAACTGTTCGGATAATCCGGTCGGTGTGTGGCTGAAAACCTTCGCGTCGTGATCGCCGGCGTTCAAAATAATCTGTTTTGACCTGATTTTTCTGGTGTGTGGTATGCGTACCGGTAATCACGATATATATTTCTAAAAATTGGCAGTGTTGTACGTGATTTATGTATATTATAAAATGGCTGATTTTAGGCAATGCAGTAAACAATTTTTAAGTGAATTTATAGAAATGTACAGAAATTTTCTGTCTTTGGAAAATTAAATCTTTGGAAAATTGTCTTTGGAAAATTAAATCTAGTGAATAGGCAGACAGAGATATGAAGAATAAGGCATATGAAGTTATGTTAACCAAACTAAAAGAAATTGATTCAACTGCAACAATAGATATGGTAAAAAAGAGAATTGACTCGATTCGAGGATCATTTAGAAAAGAACTTAAAAAAGTAAAAGCATCGATAAAGTCTGGAGCTAATCGCAATTCCTCCAACAAATTAATGTGAGAGAACTGTTTTCTTTTTAGAAGCCACTTTTTTGCCCATTTAGAGCGTTTTCTCTTAGCATATTTAGCTTTTATAGCTAAAACCGTTGCTAACGCCACAGTTGTATCCATAATCACGACAATACTGAAGAAAGCCTGAATAAAATACTGAATAGTATGTGGGCGCCAACAAGATCGTGATTACCTGAACAGTTTTGCACGTCGAATAATCCTGCCGAAAAAGAACGACGTCTGTGGGGGCCTTAAGAGAGCCAAAGATTAGTGATGAGCGAGACTGCTGGTCTCGTCTTGCGGTCTTGGCGTTTGTCTTGAACAAAAAGCAAGACCGAGACCAAGACTGACCAGTGCGTTGGTTTGATTTGATTTGGATTTTTGATCAATTTTTTCAATCAATTTTTTGTTTCCTTTTCTAGGATTTTAACTGACAAGAAGAGCGAAGTTACCAAACAACTCGCTGAAGTACAAGCAAAACTTTACACTCTGAAGAATAAACTTTGGTTTGGTGTGGGACAAGGTGATTCGCCTTTGGCTTGCGGTGGAAATCAATTTTATTTTTCATCCACTAAAACAGTCACAACACAAAAGTAAGTTGTAAAAATTTATAAAAGAGAAAACTTGACAAATATTTTCCCGAATCTGGATTTCATCTAAGGAATTACATGGCAAATTTTCTTATTCGTCTTATGTGTAAAAGCTGTTTACAAGAAATCTATTAAATACACTACTCACACAAAAAATTATCGCATATTTGAATAAAAATAATTATTACATATTTCTAAATGAAGCATGCATTTTTCTACCTTTCTCTTGTGAGTTATTTTAGGATAATTATTAGGGTATGCACTGACATGTAATTTTTAGTCGGCCGACTATTTAGATGCAAAAGTGAAAACGGCTCATTCTTATCGAGCCGATCGATCGGCCCAATATTTGATTAACTTGCTTAGCCTTAAGATATTCGCTGACAGGCAATTTTTAATCGGCCGACTATTTAGTTGCATATTTGTAACCAATATATCCTTATGGAGCCGCGCTCACATGCAAACAAATAGTCGGCCGATCGATTTCATAAATATGTACAGTACGTCTGTCCGTTCTGTGGCTACGGGGTATCCGTGAGAGGGGAAGCGATATTCTCTCGATGTTTTTCGTAAAAAATTAGACGACGCATCCCATCAATAAAAATTCGACAAATTTGCAAGTAACCAATAAAATGAGTGGGCGGAGCGATTTGCGGTGACGTACTCGTCAAGTCGACGAATAAAATATATTGTTGTTTATTTAAATGTTTTTTGTCCGCATTCCTTTTATAGACACAGATCCAGCAGATGTACTGTACGTCGACTTGACGAGTACGTCACCGCAAATCGCTCCGCCCACTCATTTTATTGGCTACTTGCAAATTTGTCGAATTTTTATTGATGAGACGACCCGTCTCATCAATAGTCTAATTTTTCACGAAAAACATCGAGAGAATATCGTTTCCCCTCTCACGGATACCCCGTAGCTATAGAACGGACAGACGTACTGTATAAAATATATTGCTGTTTATTTAAATGTTTTTTGTCCGCATTTCTTTCATAGACACAGATCCAAGAGACGAACTCTATTGTTTTCACTTTTGCAACTAAATAGTCGGCAGACTAAAAATTACAGGTCAGCGCATATAGGCTTATTGTATCGAATTCCCTTCACAGTATCCATACTATTTAAAATCGTAAGTCAGGGAATTCAAAAAAAGTGAAGGAAAAGGTAAGTCTTCGATGGATTTGCTTTAAAGTAAAAGGTCTTTTGTTTTTCGTATTTATAAAAAGAAGCATTTACTTGAAAAATAAAAATTTTACTTCTAAAAAAGGAATCTAGGTTCACAACAACTTTTCTCACTCTTTTCAGTAGTTGGCCAACCATCAAACAGCTCGGTACGTAAAAAATTGTCTATTTGTAGGAGTGTTTTTGTGTGTTAACATCTACCTAGTAATCTTTGGTTTCAGTGTTGTGTTTGTTATGGCTGATATGGTGCATTTACGTACAAGACAATACTACAAACCAGACATACGTCACGTGAATCAGATTTCAAAACATTATTTAGAATTGAGAAGGAGATGGGTTATTTAGAATTGAGAAGGAGAAGGATTTGTGGTGTGGTTAGCGGACCACTTTCATGGCGCGGATCTTGAAACACGTGGAGAAGCCCTATCACCTGTGCATAAAATGAAACTACTCGCTGATGCGTATTTGACATGCATCACAAGATGGTTACGCAACGCCTTTTCTTTCATGAGCTTTTCTGGGACTGAAAAGCCCGATACGTGATGTTATCCCTCTTCCGCACTCCGGACATTCAAAAATCTCATTGCTTTGTTGCCTCTTTACTGTTTGGTTGTCGCTATTAACTGAGTTTACAATTCTTCTCCATTGCGTTCTATTGTCTGCTACTTCTCACTCATTCTGCATATCCTTGTACTTTTTGAGGTTTCCACCCTGTGTCTTCTGCGTTATTGTGCGAATCCTGGATTCCAGAGCGGAATTGCTGAAGAATTGGGATGTACGCAGCCCACAGTGTCCAGAATATTTCATGAGTTGCTTGAGCAGCTTGTACAACAGGCTGGCGAATGGATTCGCTTCCCAAACGCAGAAAATCAAATCATGCAGGCTAAAGAAAAGTGGTTGACCAGGTTCCATTTCCCCACAGGTTATTGACTGCATGCACATTCGTATTATGTGCAGGCCACATGCGACCAGAAACCTGGATCCGTTCATGATTCTCGTATATGAAAGAATTCGGCAGTATGTGAAGTCATGAACAAGACAAGAAACACTATACTACTAGGGGACAGTGGATATGGTATAATGTCATGTCTCATGACTCCCTATCCCAACTCCCTCGAGGAATATCAGATAGCCTTCAACAGGCTGCTTAAATCAGAGCGAGTTGTGATTGAGCATATATTTGGGCAACTGAAACGGCGATTTCCTATTCTAAAGTATGGATGCAGAGTGAAATTTACCAGTATTCCTAAAGTTATAATTGTATCTCTGTACCTTTTACTTTATTTATCCAAAACATTTCCTTTCAAGGAAAAGGTTATAAATACGAATTGTAGCAAAACCTTTTACTTCTACCTTTTACTTGAAAGTAAATGCTTCATTTTTATAAATACGGCCTAATGTTTTGTTTTTCAAAGTATTATTTTTTTTAGAAAACATGCGGTAATTGTTTTGAGTAGTGTATTTATACCTATAGGAAACAACGATGTCAAGTTGTCTTGGAAATGACGCGATCAATCGTATTCCCCAAATAATTTTACATATAAAATAAGAGTGATCTACTCCAAGTCAACTCGACTTTCTAATAGCAATCTTATTTTCTAAAAAACTATTGTTTTAGAGTATCAAGAAAAATGTCAAAGAAAAATGGGAAAAAATCAGAAAAAAATGTTAAAAAGGAAGCTAAATCGAATTTAGAAAAAATGGAGAAGACTGGAAACAAAGGCCAAAATGGGTATAATATTATGCATTTAACATTACCAACATGTTTACAAGTTAGTTTTCTTTGAACGACACAGATTAATTAGACAATTTAATTAGTACTTCATTATTATTTTTTAATTAATAATATAATTTAAAATTGATATCAATTAATTAATTGATTAAACTTAATTGATTGTAAAAGAAAAATATTAATAGTTACTAAAATATAGAAATACACTTTGTATTTATTATTAAACATTGATAATTTTTATTAAAAACGTATACTGTTGCGATCTTTCAATAAACTCTTAATAAATATGTAATTAATACTTAAATCTTTTTCTATTTCGGAATAAAGATTTAAATCACATACTACATACATACTCTCCAAAAAAATCCTATATGAGTATTTCGGCACCGCAAGAAAATCTACAAAATAAAATAGTTATTTTTTGTAAACACTTCTGGCGTTAATCCAAACGGAAACTACTTGTCAGAGGCTAGGTTTACAGATATACAAATTTGCCTAACGAACAAAAAAATGCTTAACGTTTCTGAAAGTTTATCTCTTTCCGTCGTCGCGTCGGAAGCAAAAAAAATACAAAGAATAAAGAAAAAAACTATTTAAAATATTTATTATTATTTTTATATTATTATTATTTCTTTTATTATTATATTATAATATCTATTCGAGAACACTTTAGTTTTTTTTTAAACAGATACGTCTACAAAAACCGTTGACGTTCTGTTAAAAAATTTTCGACGACGGAAAGAGATAAACTTTCCTAAACGTTAGGCATTTTTTTGTTCGTTAGGCAAATTTGTATATCTGTAAACCTAACTTCTGACAAGTAGTTTCCGTTTGGATTAACGCAGAAGCAGAAGTGTTTACAAAAAATAACTATTTCATTTTGTAAATTTTCTTGCAGTGGCGAAATACCCATTTTTTTGGAGAGATGAATCCGCCACGTAGGTATAGACATTTTTACATACATACTGCCATTACTCGCTGATGAGTATTTGACATGCATCAGAAAATGGTTACGCAACGCGTTTTCTTTCAAGAGCTTTTCTGGAACTGAAAAGCCCGATACGTTATGTTATCCCTCTTCCGCACTCCGGACATTAAAAAATCTCATTGCTTTGTTGTTACTTTTTGGTTGTCGCTGTTAACTGAGTTTACAACTCTTCTCCATTGCGTTCTATTGTGTGCTACCTCTTCCCACTCATTATGCATATCCTTGTACCTTCTGAGTTGTTCACCCTGTTTCTTCTCGCCGACTATAAGCTCACCATAAAGCAAAGATTGTAGGCGGTGTTCTTGCATTCTGAATACGTAACCAGCTCATCTTAAGCGGGATTTTGTAATCATGGCTTCAAGGCTAAAACCCTGTCTTTTAATTTCCAGAATGCTCTTGAGCGTAACCACCGCAATAACAAGGCCGGACAGCTGTGACGTAAAAATCTTGTGACGTCACCAACTGGAGGCTCAACTCTATTTAGCAGCGTTGATAATTACCCGATAAAAGTTCAAATTGTGGATCTTTTTTCACTCACCAGATATATTTCAAAGTTTTAAAATGTCTTTTTCCGAGTTTTTAAAAATATTATAGTATATAAAAATAGTTTTAATAGAATACGGAAAAAATCGTACCGGTCAATAAATGTTTATTTCTCACTTTTTATCAATCAAATTTAATAAAGGAATATTTTAAATTCACAATAGTGTATAATATGAGAAAAGAACAATAAAAAATAGATATTTTTTACAGTATATATTATGTATTTTATCGATATTCTACGCCATATGAATATTATATTTAAAGCTATATTTCTTCTCTTTTCTCAGATATATTTATATGTATTTTCTAAAGCTTTTACTTATCTTTTACCTCACCTCAAACCTTTCATATTTGAAAGTTACATAAACTACACCCTCTACAATATCTACATCGATTAACTACATGTGATGTAGTTTATATAATTTTAAAGAGTAACATGTAGTTTTCCGAACCCTGATAGTAATACTGATCAAATTAATAGTCATGCTTGTTATTTACTAAATTTTTAAAATGCGATGAAAATAAATAAAAAATTTCTAACTTTTATCTGTGTTCAATATTAAAGTTATTATCTTGAGTTGAGTAACAGGTTGAGCTTGAAGTAATAAAATATTGTTTTAATGAGTAGCCATAAGCCATGAGGAGTTTCTCAAAATTCACAATAAAAACATAATTTTATCAAAAATATATTTGGATTACATTAAAAGTAATAACACCATTATTAAAATTTCCGCAATGTACTATTTATAATGCTAATTTATGTAAAAATTGTCATAAATTTTATTAGAAATACACGTCTGAAAAACTACTGTTGTTTAAAAATAATGATAACTTGAAAAGGAAATAAAAGAAACTTAGACACACTTACAGCATAAATAAATACAATGACGATGGATAATGTGAGATGGGATATCAATCTGATGTTTTTTAAATTTTATGTTTAATTATTATTTATTAAAAATTCGGTGCAATTAAAGTTTATATCCATTATATACGTATAAAGTGTATCAAATGCAATCAAAGTTTAGGCCTCCAGTTGATGACGTCACGAATAAGCTGTCCGGCCTTGTTATTACGGTGGTTACGTCTTGAGACGCTGCTAATCCTGTGCTGAATTTCAGAGTCGATATTGGCCTTTTCCGAAATCAAAGTGCCGACACGGCATATAAATCACACGGCAGGCCAACTCGCTTTGGCGGGAACGCTACGCGCATATCCTAGCGCACGCCGCCATTATGGGTGCCAGCAACAGAAATTAACCAGTGTCGTAGTCAGTCGTAGTCTTTGTCATCGAGAACATACAGTACGGCAGTTTTGAGTCAGTAGCGTGCGGCTTAATTTATTTCATTCTTTTCTTGAGTGATATATTTTGTTTAATTATTTTTGTTTATTGTGTGTGATATATTTGGTTTTTGTAGTTTAGTAGTACAATGGAAGTCCGAAGTTTTTTTAGTTTTAATACTCAATCATTGCCTACGGCATTCAAAGTAATTTTTATTATAAGGTATCCTACAAAATGACCAACAAGATTCATTTCTAAATTACTGTTTTTCTGATTATCCGTATCTATTTTTAATTTTTATGGATAGCTCATGACAATTCAGAGAGAAAAGAACAGAGGTCTCGTTGTTTTTTATAATAATGTAATAATGTTACTGATTCCGACGTAAACAATGAGGTCTGCCGTTTTTAATAAGATGTTTGCCAGATCATTTTGGCAATTTTCAGTACCCGTGTGTAATATTCGGACACAAAGTTTTTTAAATGTTCTTCTAAACTGGATGAATTTATCCTGGATGGGAATAATGATAGGTTTACAAGATATTGGAATTACAAGAATTACAGGAATTACAAGATAAAGTTGTCATACCAGATTTTTATGAGTGCAACTGTACACTCAAATCTCGCGACAAGCTGTTATATAATATAAAATTCTGTAATGACGTTATAAGTCCATAATAAAAGTTTTTTTTTCTTTTTAATGTATTTAAATAAAACCTTGTCTTTAAAAAGTTTTTTTTCTTAAATTTATTTTTTACTTTTTAGTTATGCTGGTTTCTCAGTGCCACACACTTAAACTCAATTCTTTGTCTTAAATAAATTCCTATGGGCATCCAAATAATATGTATATCAATTTTCATTAAAAAAAGGAGAACTTAAAAAAACGACAGCTGTCAAATTTGACAGTTCAAATGTGAGACAAATAAAATGAAAACCGACGGGGTAGGGAGCATCCAATATATCGATTTTTATCAAAATCGGACAACTTTGAGATTTTTTTGACAGCTGTCAAATATTCGGGTCATGCTTTGCAGGAAAATGTATTGTCATCAGGAGTGAACCTACATGCCAAATTTCAATTTCCCACAATGAAAGGAAGTGCTCCTAAAGATTTGCCCCGAACAAACATCCATTGGTAGAGATACCTCTTACCATAACAACATTAGACACCCAAGCTGGTTTAAACTCTCCGTTTCCCTTCTGGTCCTCAAAACCTACAATATTATCACGACCACTATTATAAAATAAATTGCACTTGATGATATTATTATTATATTATGATGAATATTAACAAAATTTGCTATGTCCATTGATGGACATAATTTGTACGTAGCCTCTTTAGATTGTTCAATAGATATTTTATTGGGTATTTCTTTAATTCTTGTTTGTAACTCCTGGCATGTTTTTTAATTTTAATTGTCTATTCTCTACAGTTAAATGTTTAATTGATTTTTTCATTGTTACTTTTCGAGGAGTATGCGCGGTTAACGATTCATTTGTTTAGATAAAAGTATTGTGTAAATAAAATTTAGTTTCAGTCAATTACAGTATTTTTTTTAATACGACCCTGTCTATGAATAGTTTATTTTCTGGGAAATTTTTTGATACGTTTTAATCCGGCCCTGACTCGGCATCCATAATGGTGTTTTCAAGGTCAAATTTTATAGAAATTTAAAACAATGGGATCTGGGCAGAGTTAGCCCGCCGTGTGATTTATATGCCGTGGTGCCGAGGTAATTGAATTCCGCTACATATTCCAGTAGTTCTTCGCCGATTTTTATAGCATTGTTGTTATCTGCCGGGGGAGTGCACATGATTTTAGTTTTATCGATGTTCTATTTAAGGTCCAAAGCCTTGTATGCCTAGGTATATGTGTTCAAGATTTCTTGTAATTGCTGTAACGTTTTTGCAACTAGAGCGAAGTCATCAGCGTATTGAAGTTCTGTGATGAATTTTGTACGTGTTTTTGCCCTGAGTCTCTTTATGTTGAACAGGCCGCCGCCGCTGTCGTATCTGTATCTAATGCCCAATCCTCTTTCCTGCAGTTTGCTGTCCACTATAATGGAGAGCGCTGCCTCCATAAATATGTTGAATAAAAGAGGCGCTAGGACACATCCCTGCCTAACTCGTATATTTGTTGGATCAAAGGTTGGCGAACATCAGTTGGAATTCCTCCCGGTCTTGGGCCAAACGGGTAATTGCACTGGCCTCTCCTATACTAAATATTAAACCGTTTATTTTGAGACCGTGACTCTGACTAATACTGCTAACTCTGTCCATCAGGTACTGCAAATCTTTCTCATTGCTAGCTAGGAGCACCGTATCGTCAACATATCGGATATTATTAATATGTTTACCATTCACCTTTATTCCTCCTGGAATATCGATACAGAGTATAAATTAAACAGAAATGGCGATATAGGTATACATTCTCTGACGCCTTTAAGAATTTCTATATCCGTTGTATTGACATATTTCCGATTTTTATATGAGCTGACTGATTCCAATATAAGTTTCTAATGATTCTTATGTCTTTGCCATCTAACCCAATCTGTTTGAGTAAATGTATCAACTTGTCGTGTCTCACGTTATCAAATACCTTCTCATAATCTATGCGAAGACACTGGTCTGCTGATCGAGGCATTTTTGGACTAAAACCTGTATTGAGAACAAAGCATATCTGGTTCCACTTCTAAAGCCGAATTGCGTTTCACTTATACTTTCGTCAATCCTTCTCCATAGTCTAGAGTGCAGGACAAGCAGGAACACCTTTAACGTATGACACATAAGCCTTATCATCTTTTGGAGTTTGACATTTTAGGGAGGGTTACAAATGTTGATTGCAGCCATTGTTTAGGGAGCTCTCCGGTACTGTAGATGCGATTAAACAATTTTAGTAGAAGTTTCATATTTTCTTCGTCTAATAGTTTGAGGATTTCAACGTTTAATTGATCAGGACCGACAACTTTAACTGTCAAGGCTTTAACTAATTCCTTCTTTAGTATGTCTGGCCCGTCTAAGCAATTGTCCCATTGATAATAAAAATCCATTGATATTTAAATCACTAATAATTTTCAAAAAGACTTAAAATTAAAAATAATTTAAATAAAAAAAACTCTTTTCTATGAGCTTGCAGCTCTATTTCCGATATTTAAATGAATTCACAATGGATTTACAGGAAATTTTCACAATACTTGTTATTTTCTCGACAGATTAAAGCGCCAATCCGCCGTAAGCTGGACGCAATCGGAAAAATTAACTTTAAGAAAATCGAAAAGCCTGCCCGACACCACGTCCACGCTCACCGACAAACTGAAGGACCTGAACGTCAACGAAGACCGAACTGCCCGAGGTGACAGCAAGCAGAAGAAGAAGAAGCGGAAAGGAAAGTTTTCGAAAAAGGCAAAAGCGGTGACGAACGCGAAAATTTTCGTTTCTCCTCAGAAAGACTGACAGACTGAAGACAAAAGTCGTGGTATTTATGAGTGTTCAAGGAATGCATGTTGTTGATTGATTTGTATTCGATTTGTATCTTGTATATGGGTCACGCACCTGTAAAACGAAATGTAATTTAATTTAGGAAGTTTGTATACTGCCTCAAAAGTAAATTAGTGCTGAATTATAATGGTGTATTTTATTTTCCAAAAAAAAATAGATTGAGGATAACTCCACCAATATTCCTGGGAAATACACAAGTTTTCATTTTTGAAGTTAAACTTCTTTACGCGCGATGGGAGTAAAATTTCAAGGCATTCACACCATGGCATTGACACGACCTGACCATGTCTTGACGCACAAGCTAGCGAAAAAAACAGTGGTAAGGATCGTGCAAATACAAAAAAAACATTTGATTTAAAGATAAGAAAATCATTATAACAAACTTGATGCCTAAACTGTACCTGGGTACCAATATCCAATATCCTCTAATTGTGTCCTAAGAAGTAAATTTTCATGCATATTTTCATCGATAAGTTTATAGCTTCTGAATAACTGTCTAGGTTTACCTAGCATTTAGCTTATTTGCTAACTCAGAATTAGAATTATTAGAGTTAGGCAACTCGCATTTTCATTAGAGAGGATCATCATATTTATTTCAAACCAAAATCAACGAGAATATTCGTATAATTTTAAAAACAGTACTGTAAATCACTATAAATAGGAATTGTTGGTTAGGTTCAAATTTTTTTTATTTTCTTAAATAAATTTAAGCGTTAACATTATTAGCATTTTTGCTTAAAAGTGTGTATTTTAGGTGGTATTCCACAAAATTTGCAGGCTATTAAGGAAACAGAAAATGTACAGATTACAGAAATAAATTGAAAATAACATTTATTAAAACAGCATTATACAGGGTTGTTCACCACATACGACACGGAGTATTGTAGCTAAACGATTATATTTTTGCAAATTGTTTTGGGTTCGTTGAAGGACTATTAGAGCTACAATTTAAAAATATTTATACAAGATACAGAGTGTCCCAAATAAGTAAAAAATATTATAGTTGTATTTTTTTAAATATAACACCCTGTATATTATTCTATTTTTGGATTCTACGATTGAAATAAAGGTAAATTTTATTAAGGTTTATCGCACTTAAACCTTACCGTTTTTGAATTATTTTTAATTTTATGAAATTGCAGTAAAAATTTTTCATTTCGCCAAGGGTATAAAAGTTTTTAAATTTGTTTAATTTAAATGGAACACTCTGTATATTTTACGTGAATCATATGCACAATTTAATTGTCTATCAAATTTTATTATACCATTTTTTACCTATCTCTTCAAGTTTTCGTAGAAAATGCATTTTCTTATAATTTAGACCTCATTTATCACTATACCCATGGAATATTGACATTTCAGATTTTTTAAAGCAACATATATGCACAAAATGTACAGGTGGTAAATATTGCAAGCCCATTGGTATACTAAAAAAACTATTTAAATCTTTGTAAAAGAGTATACCAACTAAATATACCACCATTATTTCCGACCAAAAATTAGTTAATTACATACTTTTAAATTATTTTAATTAATAAAGTATTTTAAATAAATGTGGATTTGGCTCAGAAATCAATATAATAATAAGTTATGAAAATAAAAGTCTCTGTTTTTATAAATAAGCATTCGTCATAAAATGAAATAAAATTTATAAGGCATTACTTTTTACCACACTGTCTAATACAAACACAAAATTCAGTTTTTTAGTATTTGGAGCAATTATTATTTATCAACGTAAACAGTCTGTATCTGTACTCTTTGAAAATTTGTTACATCTTTAAAAATAATCTAAAATGTCAATTTTCCATGGGTATAGTGATAAATGAGATCTAAATTATAAGAAAATGTATTTTCTATGAAAACTTGAAGAGGTGGGTAAAAAATGGTATAATACAATTTGACAGACAATTACATTGTGCATCTGATTCACGTAAAATATATCGGGTGTTTTAAATTAAACAAGTTTTTGCCGTTTAAATCTAGTAATTATTTAATATACATTTTTTTGGACATTCTGTATAAGGTAGTAAAATTTTTATTATTGCAACACAATATCTGATTAATAAATTACCTTCAGTAAATATTTAGTATTAAAAACTTTGATACCCTTGGAGAAATGGAGCCTTAACATTTTTACTGCAATTTCATAAAATTGAAAATATTTCAAAAACGGTAAGGTTTAAGTGTGATGAACCTTAATCAAATTTACCTTTATTTTAATCGTAGAATTTAAAAATAGAATAATATACAGGGAGTTGCATTTAAAAAAATACAACTATAATATATTTTACTTGTAAAAATATTTTTAAATTGTAGCTCTAATAGTCCTTCAACCAACCCAAAACTTAGAATTTGTAAAAATCTAATCGTTTAGCTACGTATACTCTATATCACTATATCACTACTATACTGTATATCACTTTTTCAAACATGTCCTTTAAATCCTCCAATGACACTTTGTGCAGTGTGGAATTGGACGTGGGTCATCAATTTTAATTGTAGTTGATTTTATCCCAACATCTTATTTCATTCACTCTGATATCTCAATTATTATCACGAAAAATACAAGGTTTTCAAATAGAGGTATTTATCTTAATTTTACTAAATTTCACTTCGAATGTACCTTTTTTTATTCTACCAAACTACCAACAATATTCAAAAGATGAAAAAAATTGTCGGGTACAAGCCCCATTTAATAATTGTTTTGCAAATACGTGTCCTCCACGTGACAGTAGTTTCTCGTTTCCTTGCTTGCTCATGCCTCTCATGACAATATCAATCTTTATCTTAAAACAGGTACAGGTTTATCTTAAAACAGGACTCAGCCTTAAATGAGTACTTGGGATTAACAATCAAGAGGTAATAATAGGCGGTTGAAGCGTAGTGCTAGCCACATTACCTTCATTGTATACCGAACGGCTCTAGCATGGCAAGCTGTACCTTGCTACTCCCAAGGCGTTAAACGTGATTAAACGCTATATACAGGAGCTATTATTATTATTATTATTTTCAAACAAATTACTATCTCCAAATCCAAACTAGAGGAATTGCTACTTGTTCTGTATTTTAAGCTGCGGAAATTATCGATCTTAATCTTCTACTTAATAAGTATGTAACAAATATGTTCATTCGGATTAAGCTCTGGGGAGCAGATATTGTAAGTTTTTTGGTGTTATCTTATTAGGTAATTCCTATCAGGTAGTAATGGTTAATTTAAAATTTGATTTTAAGTAATGTCAGTCACAAAACATCGCCCTTTAAAACATCATCTAATCTGCTAAGGAATGAAAGTAAATGAACCATTAAAGTGAAGCACCACCTGGTGATAGTAATTAGTTTTAATTAGCTATAATTACCTAGTATATAGTAATACCTTTTCGTTTTTTTTAATTCAATTTCCTTTTATATTTACTGATATAACTACCTAATTATATTTTAGTTATTAATCTGCGTATTTATATCTCTAGATAAATAATATTACTTAAATTGTCAAATGTCCCAAAAACATACAGACGTAGTAAATATATATTTATCTGTTTTTATGTAGCTTTAATAAGTACTCTACATACTCTAAGATAAAAAAAGAGTTAATATTTCTTTTAGTTTAATATGGCGCAATTGTTGTTAATTTTAAAGAGTATATTTTTTATTATTAATAATTGCTATATTACCATTAAATAATTTTAAAGTGAAATCTGATATACAGGGCGAGTCTTAAATAAGAGAAAATATTTTTAGGGGTGGTATATTCTACCAAGGTACCAAGGAAACTTGGTAATTGGAAACATTGGAAACATTTTTTTTTCGCGACAAAAATAAATTGACTTCAACTTTGTCATTAACTGCTAACCTACTCTTAGGTATATCACCTTATATACAGTACGTCTGTCCGTTCTGTGGCTACGGGGTATCCGTGAGAGGGGAAACGATATTCTTTCGACGTTTTTCGTAAAAAATTAGACGACGCGTCCCATCAATAAAAATTCGACAAATTTGCAAGTAGCAAATAAAATGAGTGGACGGAGCGATTTGCGGTGACGTACTCGTCAAGTCGACGTATAAAATATATTGCTGTTTATTTAAATGTTTTTTGTCCGCATTCCTTTCATAGACACAGATCCAGTAGACGAACTGTAGTATTTTTCTGTAAAGCCGGTCCCACACGAAGTGTCAAACATCTTCCAACGTTGGACACATGAACATTTGCCACATCGTGTAGAATCGTAACCACCGTAATAACAAGGCCGGACATCTTAATCGTGACGTCATCAACTGGAGGCCTAAACTTTGATTGCATTTGATACACTTTATACGTATATAATGGATATAAACTTTATTGCCACCTAATTTTTAATAAATAATAATTAAACATAAATTTTAAAAAACATCAGATTGATATCTCATCTCACATTACCCATCGTCATTGTATTTATTTATGCTGTAATAATGCTGGGCCCGAATTCTGTAACTTTGACATAAAAACGTTACGCTTTCAAAGCGGTGAGCGAAAGTGTGCGAAACGTCAAGCAGTCGATTTTGGTATTCTCGTTGCTGTGCGAGTCGTTTTCTGGATACGCGTTGAGCACATATTGACAGCATCGTAATTTCGCAGGTATCTAATAGTCAAATGTGACTAAAACAATGAAAAATGTCAATTTTACGTGAATTTTATAACCTATTGTTGAGTTATGTCAACCTATTTTTCTATGGATATGTCATTATTCTTATTATACGAGGGAAATGTTGAAGACGATTCTCAGCATTTTCGATGTTTTGAACAATATTTATAGCTACCAACTTGTAATTTGTCGATTACTTATTTAGGAATTTATAGAACAAGTAGTAGTTTTCACTAAAGAGCAAGATAACGCACGAAATCGCAATTTTTTCGATTTTCACTGACAGTTCGACAAGCAAAACGATCCTTAAAGGCAACCGTTTTCAAAGCGCTTAGCGCAATCAGTAAAGACGCTAAGCGCGTCAGACGAGAATACCCAAATCGTTAGTTAAGTGCGCGCTCACCAAAAATTAACGTCATATACGCTGAGCGTCTAAAAGCGCTTAGCGTTTTCTAAGTTACAGAATTCGGGCCCTGATCAGTTTGCAAGTTCTCTATTAAAACATACCTCATATTTTACTCATTAAAACAATATTTTATTACTTCAAGCTCAACCTGTTACTCAACTCAAATTAATAACTTTAATATTGAACACAGATAAAAGTTAGAAATTTTTTATTATTTTCATCGCATTTTAAAGAATTTAGTAAATAACAAGCATGACTAATAATTTGATCAGTATTACTATCAGGGTTCGGAAAACTACATAATCGATGTGGAGGGTGTAGTTTATATAACTTTCAAATATGAAAGGTTTGAGGTGAGGTAAAAGATAAGTAAAACCTTTAGAAAATACATATAAATATATTTGAGAAAACAGAAGAAATATAGCTTTAAATATAATATTCACATCTTATTATTTAGACCCCTCATAAAACAGAAAATTATTAAACTGATGACCATATTATAAAGCAGGTTGAAAAATACCATATGATCGGAAAAAAAACGGCGTCTGGTTGGCTTGGAAATGATGATCGATGACATTCCCCATATAATTTTACATATGAAATGACAGCGATCTTCATTTCATAGCCATCGCTGACGCCGTTTTTTTTTTCGATCATATTGTACTTTCTACAAAGTCTTGACAAAGATTACTAACTAGGTGATTATCTTATACATATTAAAATGTTTTGAATTTTCATATTTTATAATAATTCTAATATATTGTGTTAACCATTATATTCTGTTTTTTTTATGAATGTATAAATAATTCTTTACTTAGTTTTAATAAAAAGCCATATGCATTACATTATTTCTATCGAAATTAACCTACAGGATATTTTTTTCGTAATATCAATACGTAGTTTATTAAAGTAGTTTATATGCAGTTAATGAACGGGAAAAAGGTAGTTTACTATTAGTATTAGAACTACACGTACTTAATCAGGTAAATTACGTCTTAATTAACAACTTCCGAACCCTAATTACTATTAGTTTTGTAAAACAAGTGAATCAAGGAATAAACATCAATCAAACATCAATTTCATTTATAATAATTCTTTCAAATGGTGTTTTTAGTTCATTTACCTGAACTGTAGTATTTTGGCCATATAAATAGATTTCTAATTTCAGATCTAAATGTATGTATTTAATAATTAAAAAAAGCCGGCTTTTTCATCTGTATATGTGATAAAACAAAGTATACTTTCCTTATCAAAATGCAGACCACACATCCTGCTGTATTTTGTCACCACAAACTCATCACGATGAGTAGCTTGGAGCTTGGAGCCCCTATTTCTGAATATTCCTATCATTAGGAAAGTGAAAAACGTGGTTTTGGGGTTAGGCCGTAATTTATAGCGCCGGCACGGAACACTATCAGGCATTATACCTTTTAAATTGTATAATTGCACACACTTATAATCACTTCATAGTTTAAACACCTCTTTTTACAGATTTATAACTTTTTTCACCCTTCTATTATCGATTATAATTACCATGTCCGCACACCTACCGATAAATCGATGATTGTCAACTGTGACTGTGGTAATACCACTCCGCTACGACAGGCGCCCCGGAGTAGGGGGCGTAAAATATCGATAAAGTACATAATATACCTATACTATAAAAAATATCTATTTTTTATTGTTTTATTTCTCATATTATACATTACTGTGAACTTAAAATATTCCTTTATTAAATTTGATTGATAAAAAGTGAGAGATAAACATTTATTGACTGGTATGATTTTTTCCGTATTCTATTAAAACTATTTTTATATACTTACTATAACATTTTTAAAAACTCGGAAAAAGACATTTTAAAGCTTCGAAATATATCTGGTGAGTGAAAAAAAATCCACAATTTGAAGTTTTATCGGGTAATTATCAACGATGCTAAATAAAGTTGGGCCTCCAGTTGGTGACCGGTGGTTACGGTAGAATACACACTTGTGAATTACAATATTGTCGAAGACTATGCCAAATGATGCGTCCAACGTTGGTTCCAACGTTGGTACCAACTTTGGAACTTGGAAGCATAGTGTAGGACCGGCTTAATCACATGATTTATTATTCTACTTTAAAAAATTCTGTATATGATATATGTATATGATATATCTTATTATTCTACTTCGTGGGGTTAACTTAAGTACTTTAAAAAAAACTCTAAGATTAATAAAAGTTTCTAAAAATAATCCACTATCTTCTACGGTCGTCTGCTGATTCTATATTTAACAAAATTGCAATTATTCAATAATACAGAAAAAAAGTAATTGAAGTTATCTATCAATTAAAATATAAAACGTTAATATTTATCAGGACTCATATAGTGGAAGTACTTGACCGTGAATCATATAATAGCAGTACAGACAGCCGGGATTTGCCAGTCAAGATGATGAACCTTAACCAGATCCATATATTAATAGTTTCAGCGATAATAGTTTTATTGTCGAGTATTTCCTGCAGTAACGCCAATAAAACAAATAGTTATAATAGCAGTACCGTGGTACTTGTCCATGTGGTAAGCTAAAAATCTTTTAAAAAAATATTTTACGCTAGTTAGTATTAATAAAATCGATATGTCCATTGAATGTTTTACTATAATACATCGCAAACCTATAGCGCGTTCTAATACCATACTATCGAAAAAAAAACGGCGTCACAGAGTGCTGGATATAAAAATCGATGATAATTTTGGTGTGATCAAGCCCTAGATGGCATTTACTTGCCCCGTACTGTGCGTAAAAAAATAGTTGTTTAAAATTCGAGAAAATATTGTTTGAAATAAATTTATGTGGCTGGAAACGTCCTATCCTTTTTTAGTCTTTCTATAATTAGTATTAATTTTCCTTTATTAAGTCCTATGTCAGTTTTTGGTAAAGGCGATCTAGAGATTGACCTCGCCAAAATTAAGATCGATTGTAATTCATCAGCCGTTCCGACGCCGTTTTTTTTCGACCATACGGTATTTTTGCGCAATTAATCTTTAAACAAGCTCCTAGCAACAACTTGACGATACAAAGCGTAGATTACTATGAGTATTAAATATTTTTAATTAAACTATTAAATATACCCAGATGCCTTAAATTATTACTACTTTCAATGCAATATGTTTACCGAATTATTTATCTCCAGATTCTGACACTTTATTATTATTTCATAACCTTCCTAAATTTTCGAAAAAATTTCGATATTTTTCTTTGTAATTTTTCAAAAAGACACTAGAAATTACAATAGAAGTTGTTATTCTCAATTTTCTATTTTAATTTTTTTTTAAATACAATTTGCCTTAATATACAGGGTTGTTCACTACATATGACATGGAGTACTGTAGCTAAACGATTAGATTTTTGCAAATTGTAAGTTTTGGGTTCGTTGAAGGAGTATTAGAGCTACAATTTAAAAATATTTTTTCAAGATACAGATTGTCCCAAATAAATAAAAAATATCAAAGTTGTATTTTTTTAAATGTAACACCCTGTATATTATTACATTTTTAGTTTCTACGATTAAAATAAAGGTTAATTTGATTAGGGTTTATCACACTTAAACCTTACCGTTTCTGAAATCTTTTCAATTTTGTGAAATTGCAGTAAAAATTTTAGAGCTTCATTTCTCCAAGGGTATCAAAGTTTTTAATACTAAATATTTACAGAAGTTTATTTATTGATTAGAAATTGTGTTGCGATAATAAAAATAATTCTACCTCATACAAAGTGTCTAAAAATGTATTTTAAATAATTTCTAGCTATAAACAGCATTAACTTGTTTAATTTAAATGGAACACCCTATACATTTTAGGAGAATCAGACGCACAATTTAATTGCCTATCAAATGGTATTATACCATTTTTGGTATAATACCATTTGATAGGCAATTAAATTGTGCGTCTGAAAAATGCATTTTCTTATAATTTAGACCGCATTTATCAATATACCCATGGAATATTGATATTTTAGATTGTTTTTTTGGCTTTACTCTACGGTTACGACACAAAAAGGGATGCAAATACAGAAAAAATGTGGTGGCTCTCAAAATTTTTTAAAAACAAAACAATTTTTTTAAATGTTCAAACTCGGACTTCGAATTACTCGGTTATTTCGGACTTATTTGAAAAACGGTAAAAGAAAAATATGTTTCTTTTATCGAGATCTACAGCCTTGGAAATATTTGAACTTATTTAAGACTCGCCCTGTATATTGCAACAGTAGACAAAAAAATTAAAAATAAATAAGTTTATAAAAAAGTCGAGTTTACTTTGAGCCCCTACTTTGATTTTCACACTCAAAATTTTAATTATAAAGTTTTCACTGTATAAAAAACAATCTATTAACAGACTTAGATGGTAATGCAGTAGATTATAATATATAGATGGTAATAGATTATATTAAATAAATAGTATTACAGAAAAAAATGACAAATTTTGATAGCTTTTCAGACATGGCGAAAGAACTCCCGGTAAATATGACTTATGGAAAAGTAACCCATACTACAATGAAAGTTATTATAAACCATATGGTTATGGACAACTAACTAATGTAAGTACTTCATAACTTTTTTCTTCAAAATATCGATAATGCCAACTCCAGAAAAACTCCAGCAATAAATAGTATACAGGGTGAGTTTCCTACGATGTTCTCTATGGGTATCTCGGAAACTACTGGAGATAGAGAGTCGGTTAAATGGGGAAAGAATTGCAGTTTTGTGGGGTCATAAACATGCGCCTTTCAGATTTTTGAAAAAGTTCATGGCTTACTAGATATTTCGAAAAAAACAAATTTTGGCTATTTTAAAAATCGTTTCTAATTCCGTTATAATCTATTTTAGATCAAAGTTGTAGATAATCATATCCTTAATGAGATTGTGTCCTTCGTTTTTTTCTAAAGACTGTCATTTCTGACATATGACACAAACATATGTTTTTTTTAAATGGAAACCATAGTTGGCCATGGCTTCATAAAAAGCGCCATTTTTTAGGCTTTTCAGCGATATAAGCTATAATATGTTTATTTTCGAAAAATTACTGAGTTATAGCCAATTCTTATCTTTCTTGGCTAATTTCACTTAGTTGGTATGGTATTTTATTCTGTTATGATTTATAACTTATAAAAAGACAGAATATTTTATTAAACGGTTCTTTACAATTTACCTGACACAAAATGAAACTTAAAAAAACTAATATCACTACATACAGTACGTCTGTCCGTTCTATAGCTACGGGGTATCCGTGAGAGGGGAAACGATATTCTCTCGATGTTTTTCTTAAAAAATTAGACGACACGTCTCATCAATAAAAATTCGACAAATTTGCAAGTAGCCAATAAAAAGAGTGGGCGGAGCGATTTGCGGTGACGTACTCGTTAAGTCGACGTATAAAATATATTGTTGTTTATTTAAATGTTTTTTGTCCGCATTTCTTTCATAGTCCCAGATCCAGCAGACGTACTGTACACTTTAAGTTAAGTTATTTTAGCAAATGTTCAAAAACCGCCATCGTTTTGAGTGCATAAAATACATCTTTTTAAAACAAGCTTTTCCCACAGAATGGCCGGTCGACTTTAATAAACTTCTCTCCTAATTCATGATGCCTCTCTTAATTGGTAAGTTCTTTTGTAAACCTTGTTGTTAACCATACAACATAAAAAAAATCTAAAATGGATTGGTCAGGTGATCGAGGAGGCCTATGCAATTAGTCCACCTCTTCCTATCCCTGAGTTTGCATAATTATGATATAAATAATTTTTAACATTTCTTTCATTATGAGGGTGAGTGTCATAATGAAAGCAATGTTGGAACCACTCTATTGATGCGCGAGTATCTAAATTTAACTTTTCTAAAAAACGTAAGTAACGTTCACCGGTCAATGTATCCTCGAAAATGTATGACCAAGAAAAGTTCAACCAATAATCCTACACGCTTTTTTTTCATTTGAAAAATTCATATTTACAATTTTTGTTTATTTTAATTTACAAAATTTGAATGTGACAGTTTCACATTACTGAGAGCAACGACGATTGAACTTGTTCCCATGGCTAACTAAGTGACATTGATTAAAAATGATAAGAATTGGCTATAACTCAGTAATTCGAAAGAAGCATATTATAGCTTATATCACTGAAAAACTTAAAAAATGGCGCTTTTCATGAAGTCATGGCCAACTATATAGTTTCCATTTAAAAAAAAACATATGTTTGTGTCATATGTCAAAAAAGGCAGGCATTAGAAGAAAACGTAGGGCACAGTTTCATTAAGGATGTGATTATCTACAACTTTTATTAAAAAACTTTTTGTCTAAAATAGATTATAATGGAATTAGGGACAATTTTTGAAATAGCCAAAATTTGTTTTTTTTTTAAATATTTAGTGAGCCATGAACTTTTTCAGAAATCTGAACGGCGCATGACGACACAAAACTGCAATTCTTTCCCCATTTAACCGACACTCTATCTCTAGTACTTTCCGAGATACCCATAGAGAACAGCGTAGGAAACTCACCCTGTATATTTAAAAACAATTCTGTGGATCATCATCAGCATCATCGTTTTCAGCTTATTCAACCATTTCCAATTATGATGATGTATAATCCATATACTCTCTTTGTAGGTTGGGCCCATTGTTGTCTATTTTTGGCTATGCGGACCCCGGTTTGGTCTTCTTCTAGGCCTCTTAATTCCTCGTGGGTACCATGTTGTAATTTTTGTGGTCCTTCTCTTGTGTCCGTTCTTCTTACCAGGTGTCCTGCCCATTGCCATTTGAGGGATTTGACTTTGTGGATGACATCTATTACCTGGGTTTTTTGACATATCCACCCTATTCTTTTACGGTCTCTCTTCATTGTTCCCTCTTCATACTCCATGCTAACTTAATTTATTGGGCAAGTCCACAGAAAGATTAGTCATGATACATGACTAAAACATGACTACCCGTAGACACTCAGTGTTTCTGCCTTCCGGCTTCATCAATACGGGAGGAATCAGCAACGATGAACTAGCGATCCTGAAAAAAGAGAAAGAAAAAGGAGAAGCAAACGAGGCACAAAGGCGCCATTTGCAGCTGGTCCGGCAGTAGCTTACAATTTGAAGCGTTACTACCGAAACCGCCGCGGAGGCGTTCCAACACACCTCGCCGCTATCACCCTGGCCCAGAGAAAACAATAAACAAAGGAAGTCATGTTTTAGTCATGTATCATGACTAATCTTTCTGTGGACTTGCCCAATAAATTTCTTTCTTCGTTTTTTTATGGTTTCCACGATAACTTCCTTTGTTTATTGTTTTCTCTGGACCAGGGTGATAGCGGCGAGGTGTGTTGGAACGCCTCCGCGGCGGTTTCGGTAGTAACGCTTCAAATTGTAAGCTACTGCCGGACCAGCTGCAAATGGCGCCTTTGTGCCTCGTTTGCTTCTCCTTTTCTCTTTTTTCAGGATCGCTAGTTCATCGTTGCTGATTCCTCCCGTATTGATGAAGCCGGAAGGCAGAAACACTGACTGCCACGGGTAGTCATGTTTTAGTCATGTATCATGACTAATCTTTCTGTGGACTTGCCCAATAAATTTCTTTCTTCGTTTTTTTATAGTTTCCACGATAACTTCCTTTGTTTATTGTTTTCTCTGGGCCAGGGTGATAGCGGCGAGGTGTGTTGGAACGCCTCCGCGGCGGTTTCGGTAGTAACGCTTCAAATTGTAAGCTACTGCCGGACCAGCTGCAAATGGCGCCTTTGTGCCTCGTTTGCTTCTCCTTTTCTTTTTCTTTTTTCAGGATCGCTAGTTCATCGTTGCTGATTCCTCCCGTATTGATGAAGCCGGAAGGCAGAAACACTGAGTGTCTACGGGTAGTCATGTTTTAGTCATGTATCATGACTAATCTTTCTGTGGACTTGCCCAATAAATTTCTTTCTTCGTTTTTTATGGTTTCCACGATAACTTCCTTTGTTTATATATATATATATATATATATATATATATATATATATATATATATATATATATATATATATATATATATATATATATATATATATATATATATATATATATATATATATATATATATATATATATATATATATATATATATATATATATATATATATATATATTCTTCTAATATTAGAATATTAGAATGTATTTTCTTTCCACTAGTTCGATGTACATTACTTTAGTGTTTGCTAAATTCATTTTGAAACCCACTTTATTGCTGGCTGTATTTAGTTCATTAGTTTTTGCTTGTAGTTCTTCAGTACTATTGGCAATTTGGACTATGTCATCAGCGAATCTTAGATGGGTATAGAGAGATAGAGAGATATTCTCCATCTCTTTATAATCCTTTGTTGGTCCAGTCCAGTTGACCGAAGATTTCTACAAATGTTGCTGTAAACAGCTTTGACGATATCGACTCCCTCTCCTACTCCTTTGCCAGTTGGAAACTCTGGGGTTGTTGTCTGCATCATTACTCTTGCTTTGGTTTCTTTGTATATATTGACAATTGAGTTTCTATATAAGGCCTGTCAATACCTTGTTTCGCTAGAGCTTCTATTATTCGAGTCGAAGATATCTCGAGTCGAAAGCCTTCTCAAAGTCTATAAAGACTATTTTTATTCTGTGTATATTTCCAAGTATATATTTGAGGTTGGACCCTTAGGTCTGACAACAGAAAAATAAAACACTAGTTTACCATAATACGCCAAAATACTTTACTTTTTACACTGGACGCGTGTTTTGAATCATCAGCAGATGATTAAAATTATTCTAATTAGTTCCTGATGATGTTTTAAAAGTAAAGTGTTTGGTACATTGATTGTGGTGAATTATTTTTTCTGTTATTCTGTTATTTTCAAGTGGTTCCTCGGGGTGAAAAGTAAGTAATACTAGGAATATAAAAAACACTTTATTCGAAAGACCATGAACTAATTCCCGAACTCAACGAACATCAAATAGACATTTGTGCACTTTCCGAAACAAAAAAGAAAGGTTAGGGAACAACAAAACTAAATAACTACATTTTAACATACTCAGGCGTACCAAAAGACCGAAGGGCAACATCAGGCGTTGGAGTAGCTATAAATGACAAATATGAACAGAATATAGAAAGCATAGAATACGTGTGCGACAGAATCCTGAGAGTAAAGATTATATTTGACCAACCCATTCACATTATATCAGTGTACGCACCCGACATTAATAAACCTGAAGAAACGTCAATGGACTTCTACGAAAATCTACAGTCAGCGATAGACAAAATACCAAGAATGAAAAGATAATTCTGTTAGGGGATTTAAACGCAAGAATTGGAAACGAGGTAGTGGATGGAATAAAACAAAAATATAACGAAAATATAACTATTAGAAATGGCAAAATTTTGACCGAATTCTGTGGACAGAACGAACTGAGAATAAATAACACATATTTTCCCCATAAAGAACAACATAAATACACCTTCTATGACAATAGAAACAATCATGGATCAAGTAATAAAAACCGTCAAGAATACTGGATTAGGATATCGAGTGGGAATGCATAAAGTAAACATATTATGCTATGCCGATGACGCAGTACTTATTGCAAAGTCAGAGAACGACCTCCAAAGAATGCTACAAGCTTTTAACAGACAGGCAGAAAAACTTAACATGCAAATTTCCACAAATAAGACCAAATGCATGACCATTACAAAGGAGCCTCTACGGTGCAAATTGGTAATAAAAAACAAAACTATTGATCAGATAATGTCATTCGAATACCTCGGATGCAAAATTACAAGCTCAGGATTCCTGGAAGAAGAAGTAAGGAAACAAGCCAATAAAGCTGCCGCAATATCAGGACATCTTAAATATCCCATATGGAAAAACAAACATTTGAGTACAGAATGTAAGTCAAGAATATACAAAACCTGCATACGACCAGTGATGACATATGGTGCGGAAACCAGAGCTGAAACATCAGTAACAAAGAGAATCCTACGAACTACTGAAATGAAGACCTTAAGAATGATAACTGGATACACATTGAGGGACAGACAGAGAAATGTAGACATAAGAGAAAAGTGCCAAACAAACGACGTTGTCAGATGGATAAGGCAGAGAAGAAGAGAATGGAACCAGCATGTCAATAGAATGGGCCCCGACAGAATGGCCATAATAATTCGCAACAACGTACCCCATGGCAGAAGACCTAGTGGACGACCACCTAAACGTTGGCAAGGCAGTTGGCAGTCAACCTCGCAAGAGTTGCTTAGACGAGGAGGAAACCGGAACTAAACAAGCGATACGCCTTCTAAAAGAAGAAGAAGAAGAAGGAGAAGTCTTTTCCCTTAATTCTATCATTGTCCGTATCATATGCTGTACGTAGCCTAAAGCTAAAATATGCCATCAAGACTGTCTCCGAAGCAATATTCTTAGCATTTCTTTTGGCACACAATTTTTCGTATACTTTCAATGTTCATATCGCCCCCTACTTTTTTCTGGAAGTAAACTGGCTTCTGTTCTTTTTTGCAGCTTCTGAAAGTTCTGGTGGAGTACCAATGTTAAAGTAGTCTTCATTATCAGAACTTTCCCACAACATTCTGGCTTTCTATGTTATATAAATTCGAAAAAGCGAACGAGAAATTCAAAACTGTCACTTAGTTGTTTGTTTTGCTGTTGAAGGTTTGCGCCATAACCACTGGTACCGGTAACTATACAGATATGGAAATGCCAAAACAGAAAACGAAAAATTTTCGGATATTTATACAAAATAAAATACTGTCCCTATTTTTTAATTAATGATGTGGTTGTAAATAAAATAATATACAAACATCGGAGGAAAGTTTTCATTATAGTCTCGAGATTTAGTTAATCTCGACGCTACTATCAATATCAATCTCTCGACAGTAATGAAACACTTACCTCCTCGGTATGTAATTATATATACTATTATTTATCGGCTTCAAGAATCAGAAATGGAGAAAACATTGATATTAATATACTTTCTAGGATGGAAAGGAACGAATGTATAATGTGGGCGTGGAGTTACGGGAAAGGTATGCAGACTTTTTGGGAACAGACTGGGATATTGGCGTCACAGATGCATACACAACAAACAGCAACAGGACCAAAATGTCCATATCTCTGGTTTTAGCAGGTTTGTTTCCGCCCAGCGGATCTCTAGTATGGAAATCGGATCTATCTTGGCAGCCCATTCCGTATAATTACCTACCAGCAGAACAAGATAAGGTGATAAGACAATTACTAAGTTTTAATTATAAGTAGATATTCCCTTGTGCAATATCTCGCCTAGAAAATTATTAAAAAGTATATCAATGATAAATAAACAAAAATATATTTTTAATTTGGACCCAATTGTTTCTTTTATAATAATTAAATTTAATTTATTGGAAACACATTTCCAATAAATTAAAGGTAATTATTATAATAATTTTATATGATAAATTAGATTTTGTATTTTAGGAGCTTTCATCTTGGGCCTGTTCTACAGTCTTACCATTGATTTACAACACATCCAGTACTGCTGAAAGATTAAAAGCTTACGATGGTCTTATAAAAACTCTTTCCGAAGGCACAGGTGAAGAAGTGGATTATATTTCCGCTCTGTATTTGTACTTTGGATTGCGAATTCAGGTAAAATAGTTAATTGTTATTTTTGTTATTATTAATCATTGATTTTGTGATGATGAAAATAGTACTGGTCTACAAAAAAAGGCTCGAGCTCTGGCACCATTCCTGTTGATTCTTATATAAAATAACGTCCTATAGATGAATCCAAATATAGACCCCACATTTATACCGTGAGGTACAACTATCTGTTGTACCAAACATGTCAAAAACCAGCAGTACTCCGCCTACATACTTACATTTCACTTCCCTGAAAATATCTTCTCCAACTTAGTGATATCTTGATGCTAGAACTAGAAAATTCTAGAACTTTTTCTTTATGATTTAGATGAATATAAGTATTTCGTCAGGAACTGGATTTTTTATATCATTTCATGAATTTCATATAAAAGGCGTTGTAACTAGTGATGGAAATACCGGTTCCACATGAGTCGCGTTACAATAGCGACCGTTCCAGAAAAATACCGCGATTTTGTAACCGAGGTTCCGATTTCCAAAGTGTTGCGGTCCTCGCTAAAAATATATCTAACTTATCTATATTTGTAGATTAATGTAACTTTTATCCACCACACATTTTAAATATCGAGTTTATAATTATTGTGTATAGCCAATCTATCGCATTTTTAGAAAAACGATGACATTCATTGTTATTTTCTTTTCTTTATCAATTTTCGTTTAAATAAAATAAATAAACGGCTCACATTTATGTGTATTGCAATATAATATATTAAAATCAAGAACAAAGTCCAAACCACTGTTAAAATTGTTTATTGGTCCAACCTAACCTTAAAAATAGATATAAACAATAAAACTTATATAAATTTATAAAAGCAAATAAAATATTTTTATTTTATTTTATTTGCTTTTGCGTTTCATCTTTCAAACAACACTATTTTATACCATGCCTAGTACATACCAAAAATCGCTATTTCGAAAGTAGCGTAGCGACGGGAGCACCAACGCCAATAGTACCCGACTCGACCCGACCAAATCGCGACAGGCAAAACCGAAACCCTATAGAAGCGCTCAAGCGACTGCTGGAACGAAGTACGTGGCCGCCGAGGTCGATCGTCGATAATCAGTTACAGCAGTTACTTCTGTTCGCAACAGGGAACTAAAACTCTAGGAGCACGACGGCTGAAGCGAAGTAGGTCGCCGCCGAGGTCGAGCGTCGATGCCCAGTTACAGCAGTTACTTCTGTTCGCGACAGGGAACTACAACTCTAGGAGCGCGACGGCTGAAGCGAAGTAGGTCGCCGCCGAGGTCGAGCGTCGATGCCCAGTTACAGCAGTTACTTCTGTTCGCGACAGGGAACTACAACTCTAGGAGCGCGACGGCTGAAGCGAAGTAGGTCGCCGCCGAGGTCGAGCGTCGATGCCCAGTTACAGCAGTTACTTCTGTTCGCGACAGGGAACTACAACTCTAGGAGCGCGACGGCTGGAGCGAACACGTCCCGATCGAGATCGCGCGGCGCTACGGACATACCAGTTCCAAATACTACTGTTGGCGACCGACGAAATCGCGACGGCTGGAGCTAAACACGTCGCTATTCGGTCACTTCTGTTCGAGCTAACTTCAAGTGCGATTATAAATAATTTATTTGCAAATTATAAATAATTTAAGGTGCCCGGTGGCGTAGAGGTACAGGCTCTCGTCTACCAATCTCAAGGTGTGGGTTCGATTCCCACACACGGCATTTCATCAGCCGACTATTTTTATTAAAATAAAAATAGTTTGGGTACCTAGGTCGACTCAGCCTTAAATGAGTACTTGGGATTCACAATCCTGAGGTAATAATAGGCGGTTGAAGCGTAGTGCTAGCCACATTATCTTCCTTGTATACCGAACGGCTCTAGTATAGCAAGCTGTACCTTGCTACTCCCAAGGCGTTAAACGCTATATACGGGAGCTATTATTATATTATATATAAATAATTTATAATTTTATCGTAATTATAATCGTTGTTCTTCCGTAACAGGTTCCTGATTCGTTGTGGAGCGCGACACGACGTTACAAAAAAATACCGCTCCAAAATCGCGTTACTCAAATACCGACACATCACTAATTGTAACACATACAAAAAATGGACTATTTGCTTTTTAGTAGTCGACTTTTGCCTTTCAACAGTTGATATTGAAACATCACGCTGTAAAACCTTTGTCAGTATTATTAAATTCTGTTGTTCGAAATAAAGTTGTTGTCACTCTAAAACTTCTCAAATTTTTTTAATTTGAATTTCTAATTAGATGTATTTAAGGCAAATTAGTACCTATTGAGATATAAAAGAAATCTTATGAATCTTACTAATATTCTCACATCCTAAGTAATACTTACTATTTTTCAGGAACAACTTGGACTTCCTTTAGAAAACTGGACACAAGCCATATATCCTGAACCTTTCAAGTCATACATAATCGATTTTTACTATATCGAAACCAGTACAGCACCTTTAAAAAAAGTTATAGCAGGTAAATATTAAACATTTTCACTGCCAATTAATACTGAAATAGAAATTATTTTCACTCGATGGACAAAACTTGGATAATTTTCTTTACTTAATATATCATAGTTAAGTTAAATGTACTTTTTCGTTTGTTTGCAGGTTATTTTCTTAAAAAGATATTAAACGACAGCCAGAGAAAAATAAATGGTACTTTAGAACCATCGGACAGGAAAATATACTTATATTCCGGACACGAAACAAATCTAGGAACCGTTATTGGTGCTTTAGAAATACTGACCTTGAATGATATTCCACCATATGGATCGTACTTAGCGTTCGAGGTGCACAACATCGACAATGTATATGGATTAAAAGTAAGTAATAAACAGATAACAAAAAATATAAAAATAATATAAGTGTTCTAAATACCTTTGATCTACGTTCATTAAGGCGGATCCTCACTTGTCATTTTCACCGAAGTAGAATCACCAGGGTTGCCACAAGAAAATTTTTGATTGTGCAGAACTCGACCATCAAAATGTGTAGCATTGTGTAGCTAACCCTAACTATGACCAATAACAGTAAACTATCCAATAAGACGTACGTTCGTCAAATTTTAAAGCATGATTGCGAGTCTCACTTCCACTCATTGAAAAACTTTTTTATTATAGCATGCATATTTAAATATCTTTAAATATCTTAAAAACCAAAGCATTTGAACATATTAAACCCTTATAATAAATGCCTTGTTTTATGCGCCAGAATCCAAAAATGAAATAAAATACCGGGTGTTCCATAAGAAAAAATATAACTTTGGTATGGATCTTAGTTCTGACACACCCTGTACCTACATTTGAAAATAATTTTAAATTATACACATTGCCTCTCTACATATACCCACAAAAATTTTTTGTGGCTGCATCTTTTCGTTTGCAAAAATGTTTCTGCATCTTTCCGTTTTCGTATAATCAACCGAGGCGAATGACGTGCGCCACCCTGTATACAATGTGAGATTATCGGCTGATCCGCTGATGGTTCCAGTAATTCAACATTGTTTAAGCAATATTTTATTTATGTTTTAGATATATTATCAAACCCATGAAAATGATGATCCTACTTTACTGACACTACCAGGATGTCAGGAATTTTGCCCATTTGATGATTTTGCGAAACTCCTTTCAAATATTATACCCCAATCGGACAGTGAGTGTGACGGATAATATAACGATTATTATTATGGAAAACTCATTTGTACATGTTTATCCCCTGTAAAGCCAACAATTTGTTATAAAATAAATGTATCAGATTTACCTAATTTGTTTCCTAAACTAAATCCCCAATACAATAATAAAATATCACGTAAAATGCACAGAATAATTATGAAAAAAAACTTTAAAAAGAAAGATCAAAAAATTAACATGATTAATTATTTGACGATATTTAAATTCGTTTTCCATCATATTGTAGGGCTAATCAATATTCGAAATAATGGGTATATTGATAAATGAGGTATAAATTATAATGCATTTTCTACTAACTTGTGAGATTCCATCAAAGGGCAAGAGAGGGAGCGAGAACCTCTCACCTCTTCATCGGCAAGGAAAGAAAAAAGCCAAGATGGAAAGCCGTCCAACACCGGGAGGCAAGCAGGGACGTATCACCAGCTTTGCCGCTATTGCTGGACAAGTGAAAATGGCAGTGCTGCCAAAGGATTTCCCAGAGGTTGCTCTGACCACCGACCAGCAAACGTCTCTAGAAGAGGCTATACTGGACGAAGTAGTGGCGATCGGATCGCAACACTACGATCTACAAAATGTGGGTCAGCTGCGTTTTGCTGGGATACACTCTCGGATGGGCATGATCCTGTAGGCTCCGTAGATCCATGGCTCATAGATTGTGTATCTCAAGAATCGGCGAAAAGGTTGGTGGAAATCGCACCTAAGCTTAAAAATTGGCAAGGGCCGGAACTGGTTGCAGTGAAGGGAGAAAACATCCCTAAAGGGGCGGCCATCACGGTCTTTCTGCCGAGGAGCGAGGGGAAAGCTAACCTAACCACCTACCTGCTGAGCGTTATCCAGGGTCAGAACTTCAATATAAGGACATCGAGTTGGCGAGTCATCAACTCGAGGGAGGAGGGTCAGGATCAGGTCCTCACAATAGGAATTGACCTCAAATCCAAGGAGGCAACAGAGAAAGAGAGACATATCCTCTATTACAGATACGGGACAACACCGGTATCAGGTCTAAGGAGAGACGGTAAAGAGGTGGTGAAAATGGAGACAGATCCTCCAGCCTCCACCTCACGGTGTTGTGCCGGGTTCCTCAGCAGGAGGCAAGCTCCTCGACTGTGAAGGGCGGCACGGAGGGCCAAACTCCAACCGTGGAAGGGTGTGTACCCTCGGAGGAAGAACTGTTGGCAGAGGAGGATGGGAAATACCCTGTCCCCTCTACAACAGAGGTATGATGGGTAATAGACTGTGTGATGACTCAAGGAAGGGGGGCAAACAATAGATCTTTAAGGTCGCAGTGATTAACCCCCCCCCCTTCTTACTCATTCTACATTCTACATTCTACAACTTGAAGAGATAGGTAAAAAATGGTATAACCACAATTTCATAGACAATTAAATTGTACATCTGATTCGCGCAAAATATACAGTTCTATTAACAAGTTATTGCCGTTTAAAATAATTTATATTATTTTTATTTATATTAATTGTTGAATATACATTTTTAGACACTCTGTGTAAGGTAGTATTATTTTTATTATTGCAACACAAAATTTAGTTCATAGAAAAATTTCAGTACACTATTTGGTTTTAAAAATTTAAATACGCCTAGAGAAATGAAGCATTAAAATTGTTACTGCATTTTCACAAAATCGTAAATATTTCAAAAACCGTAAGATTAAGTGCGGAAAATCTTAATCAAACTTCCCTTTATTTTAAGTGTAGAAACTAAAAATGTAATAATATATCGGGTATTACTTTTAACAAAATACAACTTTGATATTTCTTCTTTAATTGGGACACTCTGTACCTTTTAAAAAAATTTAAATTGTAGCTTTAGTAGCCCTCCAACAATCCCATCACTCGCAATTTCTAAAAATCTAATCGTCTAGCTACAATAATCTGATATTTTATATTTTTACTTATGTATGTATACAAAATTATACCATAATTCTTATCATCAAAATCTTAAATAATAAAGTAACGCCGCTTTAATGCAATTAAGTAATTTATAACTGATCTTACTAAACTTAATCACAGATTAATAGATAAAAGTGATGATGGAAACAACTTCAATCATTTCATAACATAAAAATCGTATAATGATGGTGTCGTATGGTGAAAGTGCGCAAATATAAATAATCTTTTGGTGCAGAGAAATACAGTTTGAACGGTCAAAATGAAATATTCAGGAACGGTTCCAATAATCTTATTAATAACAATTATCTTGTTATCATCAAAAGTATCTAGCCGAACTGTGAAGAAAACGAGGAGTTATAATACTGATACCTTAGTTCTTGCTCATGTGGTAAGTAAATATATTTAAAAAATATCTAAAAATATACCATAATCAGCGGCGTATCGGGCATGGCGTCAATACTGGTCAATACAAGCGGATAAATGTAATAAATATTTAAAAACCAAAATTATCACATCGACAAACCGCATCAACAAATGGTGAAAGCGAATACTTATTTTATCTAGTTATCTACATACAGTATACCAAGTAAATCCCATGTAAATTTTAATGAGGTTAATTATTGGCTTCCCTAATTATTTTAGAGAATAATTCTATGTAGGTTTATTGAAGAGCACTAAAACCCACATTCAAAAGAATAACTTTAGATATTTTTGATTAGCCCGTTTACGAGTTATTGCCGATTTCTTTTTTAATATTTCTCTTTTTTATTATGAGCACCAGTCAAGGTAAAAGATAACTGTCAAATTAAGTTGTCATTTCAGAAATTTATCTATTTAGTGCTTTATTATTATTATTAAAAATTCATACCTACATCGAAAATATTAGCCATGAATTACACTACCGAAGAAAAATTATTGATGATTAAAAGGTATTATCAAGGAAATAGTTATCAAAAGGTGTCGGACATGTTTGCTGCTCTGTATCCGAATAGACCGATACCTGGAAAATCTACAATCGCAAGGAATATCCAGAGAACTGAGACCAAAGGTACCCTAATAAATAACTGCAGATGTGAAGCAAGGCAGGAACAAAGAAAAGATGCAAGAAATGATACCGACTTGGAAGTTTTATTGTGCGTGGAAGAGAACGATGGAAAGATCAGCACAAGGAAACTTGAGGATGAAATAGGAATAGATCACACTACAGCGTTTCGAATGTTAAAACGACATAAATACGATTCCTTCAAATATGAAAAGCACCAAGAGCTACGAGATGGGGACGAAATACGGCGGCAGGCGTTTTGTTATGATATGATGGAAAGAGCAAACACGGATAAGGCATTTTTAAAAAACATATGTTTCACTGACGAATGCACGTTTACCTTAAATAATGAACCCAATGTTCAAAATTATCGATATTGGAACAAAGAAAACCAACACAGGTTTGTCGAAACAAGGACACAATATCCACATAAAGTAAATGTTTGGGCAGGGATATTCGGACACAATATTATCGGGCCATTATTTCTTACGCGAAATTTAAATGCAGAATATTATTTGGAACTACTCCAAAATCATATTTTACCTGCTTTCCATGATGCCGCTAGGGAAAATCAGGAAGTTTGGTACCAAATGGATGGCTGCTCGGCACATAGTACCCTGGCTGTTCGGGAATATTTAGATAATAGTTTTAACGGAAACGTTATTGGCCTAAATCATACAGTAAATTGGCCAACAAGGTCTCTTGATATTTCGCCAAATGGATTTCTTTCTCTGGGGCCATTTAAAAAACAGGATATACAAGGATAAAAAATACCCAAATCCAGACGAGTTAAAAAATGCTATTTCTGCCGAATGCAATAGAATTTCAGTTTACCAACTAGCGAATGCAAGAAGAGAATTTTATGATCGCCTGGGTTATTGTCTAGCAGTCGATGGAGGAATATTTGAACATCTTCTTAAATCCTAAAGTTCTAACAATTTAATAGTACCTAAATTAATATGTTATTGAATATTGTAATAATACTGTAATTAACCTTGTAATTGATTAGTTTATTTTACTTTAATTCATATTAATTTGTATTTATAAATACATCTTTAAGATTTCCGATGTAGGAATGAGTTTTCAATAATAATAAAGCCCTAAATAGGTAAATTTCTGAAATGACAACTTCATTTGACAGTTATGTTTTACCATGACTGGTGCTCATAAGTAAATACAGGGCCATAAGAAAGGAGAAATATTTAAAAAGAAATCGGAGATAACTCTTAAACGAGCTAATCAAAAATATCTAAAGTTATTCTTTTGAATGTGGGTTTTAGTGCTCTTCAATAAACCTAAATAGAATTATTCTCTAAAATAATTAGGGAAGCCAATAATTGAACCCATTAAAATTTACATGGGATTTCCTATATCCCGTTTTTAAATTCATTGTTGCCAACCATGAATATATTCGGCGCCGAGCTGACTAACTGGAATTTAAATTTCGCGCTGGAGATTCAGGTGGTAGTTCTGCTGTAAAAAATATCAAGTTGTCGCATTTGTTTATTTATTTTCTGATATTGTCGTTCGTTTTGACACTTTAGTTTTGTATTACAAGTTTTTGGTTTAAATAAATAGTATTGTCATACTTTAAGCTTAAAAATGTTTACTAGCAGACATATGGCAAAGAACCAAACCAAACCAAACCAAACCAAACCAAACCCACATTGAAAAGAATAACTTTAGATATTTTTGATTAGCCCGTTTACGAGTTATCGCCTATTTCTTTTTAAATATTTCTCCTTTCTTATGGCCCTGTGTTTACTTATGAGCACCAGTCAAGGTAAAAGATAACTGTCAAATGAAGTTGTCATTTCAGAAATTTATCTGTTTAGTGCTTTATTATTATTATTAAAAAGTCATACCTACATCGAAAATATTAGCCATGAATTACACTACCGAAGAAAAAGTATTGATGATTAAATGGCATTATCAAGGAAATAGTTATCAAAAGGTGTCGGACATGTTTGCTGCTCTGTATCCGAATAGACCGATACCTGGAAAATCTACAATCGCAAGGAATATCCAGAAATTTGGGACCAAAGCTACCCTAATAAATAACTGCAGATGTGAAGCAAGGCAGGAACAAAGATAAGATGCAAGAAATGATACCGACTTGGAAGTTTTATTGTGCGTAGAAGAGAACGACGGAAAGATCAGCACAAAGAAACTTGAGGACGAAATAGGAATAGATCACACTGCAGCGTTTCGAATTTTGAAACGACATAAATACTATTCCTTCAAATATGAAAAGCACCAAAAGCTACGAGATAGGGACGAAATACGGCGGCAGGCGTTTTGTTTTGATATGATGGAGAGAGCAAACATGGATAGGGAATTTTTAAAAAAACATATGTTTCACTGACGAATGCACGTTTACCTTAAATAATGAACCCAATGTTCAAAATTATCGATATTGGAACAAAGAAAACCAACACAGGTTTGTCGAAACAAGGACGCAATATCCACAGAAAGTAAATGTTTGGGCAGGGATATTCGGACACAATATTATCGGGCCATTATTTCTTACGCGAAATTTAAATGCAGAATATTATTTTGAACTACTCGAAAATCATATTTTACCTGCTTTACATGATGCCGCTAGGGAAAATCAGGAAGTTTGGTACCGGATGGCTGCCCGGCACATAGTACCCTGGCTGTTCGGGAATATTTAGTATATTTTATTTATTTATTAATAGTTTTAACGGAAACGTTATTGGCCTAAATCATACAGTAAATTGGCCAACAAGGTCTCCTGATATTTCGCCAAATGATTTCTTTCTCTGGGACCATTTAAAAAACAGGATATACAAGGATAAAAAATACCCAAATCTAGACGAGTTAAAAAATGCTATTTCTGCCGAATGCGATAGAATTTCAGTTTACCAACTAGCGAATGTAAGAAGAGAATTTTATGATCGCCTGGGTTATTGTCTAGCAGTTGATGTAGGAATATTTGAACATCTTCTTAAATTCTAAAGTTCTAACAATTTAATGGTTCCTAAATTAATACGTTATTGAATATTGTAATAATACTATAATTAACCTTGTAATTGATTAGTTTATTTTACTTTAATTCATATTAATTTGTATTTATAAATACATCTTTAAGATTTCCGATGTAGGAATGAGTTTTCAATAATAATAAAGCACTAAATAGGTAAATTTCTGAAATGACAACTTCATTTGACAGTTATGTTTTACCTTGACTGGTGCTCATAAGTAAATACAGGGCCATAAGAAAGGAGAAATATTTAAAAAGAAATCTTCGATAACTCGTAAACGAGCTAATCAAAAATATCTAAAGTTATTCTTTTGAATGTCGGTTTTAGTGCTCTTTAATAAACCTAAATAGAATTATTCTCTAAAATAATTAGGGAAGCCAATAATTGACCCCATTAAAATTTACATGGGATTTCCTATATCCCGTTTTTAAATTCATTGTTGCCAACCATGAATATATTCGGCGCCGAGCTGACTAACTGGAATTTAAATTTCGCGCTGGAGATTCAGGTGGTAGTTCTGCTGTAAAAAATGTCAAGTTGTCGCATTTGTTTATTTATTTTCTGATATTGTCGTTCGTTTTGACACTTTAGTTTTGTATTACAAGTTTTTGGTTTAAATAAATAGTATTGTCATACTTTAAGCTTAAAAATGTTTACTAGCAGACATATGGCAGTCGAACGTTGTTCTTTTTAGAACCTCCTTTACTGCAATGTGTACAAGATAGCTAAATAGCCGTAAAAAACTCATCGCAACTTTATTACAATATTTTGAACGGGAAAGCGAGTTATGTCCCTTAAATGCGGTTAAAAAGGTGAATTTTGTTGATGTAAATAATAACTGTTTATATATTTATAATTAATTTATTTTTGTTTCCTAAAATATGTTGATTAGAAGAAAATATATAAAAGTGGGCAACGCTGTGCCGGTCAAGCTTAATCACGTGACTAAAAGTTTATTTCGTATGAACTGTATTTCAGTAGTGGCCCGATGCACTATTGCCGGACCCTGTATAGTAGATATTTTCCAAAAATTCTTCTTTTGTCAATACTTTTTCCGAAAAACATTTTATTATACATAACGAAAACACAAGATACATGAAACATATTTAAACTTTTTGATACAAATTGGGATTTGAGCAATGGAGCATAAACATCTTTTTTGTTTTAAATTCGTATATGAAATATACTCCTTTTAAACCTCCCTGTAAAAATCAGATATTACAACTTGTGAAACACAATAATTAATATAATATGTAATTACTATTGTAATAAAAAAATATATCTTGTAGACATATGAAAACTTATCACTACTGACACAGGCTGGGGCCTGTAACACAAGACCTACATTTGGATATAGACTTGTAAAGTTTCGTAACACACGGCAACTTGGACTTACCTGTGTAGGACTTATAATTACGGAAAATATTTTACAATTGTACTTCTGTTCTGTAACTCAAAGATAACCGAGAAGATAACACTTGTAAGTTTATGTTACACATTCAATTACAATTGTAGGAAAATTTTAACCATGCTTAAAAGGTGAGTACAAAATTCTACAAGAAACAGTTTAGAAGAAGTCGTTGCTTTATTCACACGTCTAGCGCAATGTGGTCAAGTTCAAGTGATGACGAAAATGTTGAAAAAAGTTTGCCATATCGATTCAGAGAGAGAACTGACTTTGCATTCCTTTCCGTTAAAGAATTTGAGGAGCGATTTCGACTAAGTAGAGTGCAATGCCAGGATCTCGTAGAAGACCTCTTCCCGGAGCTACAAAAACAGCAGTAATCGGTGGTATGGGCTGCAGCCTCTACAGAAAATGTTGATTGCACTACACTGGTTAGGCAATGGGGTTAGCAATCTATTTTTCTAGATACCAACAAATACTCTGTTCTTCAGCGGTAAATGAAAAAGAAACAAATGGCAAAGCTTTCACTATACTATAGTCATAGTATATGTATGTGCAAGCTAATAGGAGCCTAAATGATTATGGATTAGTAGGTATTTTTTTGCAAAACACTCTATGATTATAACATACACTAACAAAACAGATACGCGATTAGACGCTTTCTATTTTTGTAATTTTGAGAATCTGTTTTAATCCAAAATACAACATAAAACACTTACCACTGCACTCTTCTTTAGATTTTGACCAAAGGGTATCTCTTGCGCATGTCCAATCTTTCTCTAAGGGCATTAATCATACGCTTTGAGGACGAGAAGCTAACTCTTTCCATTGCTTCACCTTGTCTTCTTTTCGAAGAGTATCCGAGAATGCCCCAAAAAGAACCTCTTTATTTTCTTTAATTTGCATAAGCCATTGCATTTTTCTAGCAAACACCACTTGTTTCGAAGACATTTTTACCAAAACTAATTTTAGAACGAACTTGTCTAAACAAGTCTTTTATCCCCATACGCAATAATACACAAACGAACGTTTACCTATCTAGTGCGTCTGTCCTACAACTCTTGTGCGCTTTAGCTACACTTGTCAGAAATATTCGCCGTTATTACAAGTCATTTTGAGAACTTTGTGTTACAGAAATTAACAGGAATTGTAGCTATAGTCAAGTGAAGCGAATAACTTTGAATTTGACAGTTCCCGCGGGCTTTTCTAGTGTTAATTTTATTAGGTTAGCAACTTGCGGCCCTGCTGACGCAATGCCGTCTCTAATAAAACAGCCTCACTTGACTATGGCTGAAATCGCAGTCCATAGTCAATGTAGATAGTTTTAGTGTTAAGAATAATAATTTAAAAAAATATGTGGTCATCTTTTGACAAGTTTATATTAGTTTATTAATTGTAGTAAACATTATATGGTGTGTGGTGTGAATATTTTATATGTAATTTTTTGGATTATATTTGACACTATTTTTTTCATATAACACACTATAATGTTACCCGAAACGTTTTTTTTAAACCAAATAAAAATAATGAAAAACCAAATGAAAACTTAATCAGCGTTTTTCCCGAATCTAAATCCCAAGAAAATCAAAAATTTTAGAATAATTTTACATATAAAATGACAGCGATTTTAATTTCATCGCTGATGCCTTTTTTTCTATGATATTGTATTATTTGCAAATATAATTTTTCGAACATTGATACTTGCAAAATATACATATAAATTTTGTGAATGCAAATAATAATACATCACTATTAGTAGATATTGAATGTTTTTTGTTAAATTAGATCGATTTTCAAACCCCAAAATTTAAAATATATTTTACATTTTATCCATTATCTGATGTACCTATTTATTATTTGTGTATTGTAAAACATTTGCTGCATTTGTGTGGTTCATAGTTTATTTGCCAAAGTATTTATTACTATAAATAGGTATATATATATTGTATTTATCAACAAAGAGGAAGTCTTGACCGATCAATTATAACAAAAAAATTGTTTAATTTTTACCTTCAGACCGCTATCCCCAAGAATTTTCTTCTAAGTATTTATTAACTGTATATTATGTATATTTCATGTAAACTATATCATTTTTAAAATACAATGTTTATGAATGAATATGTATTAATAACAATGTATCATGAATACATGTTTTCCATATATTCTACAACATATTTATTAATCCGTAGTATCTAACTAGCGTGACGTCATTAATCTCGCTCCGAGGCTGTTCTATTAGAGACGGCATTGGTCTGATATTTAGAAATGTCAAAAGCTGATGATATTTTACTTTTGGCAATTATGACATTCGTTTTATTATTTTCCTTTTCTATTTCACGAAAGTAAAAAGAGTTACCTATCTGATTCGTTCAGGCACTCAGTTTAAAGAATATCAGTAACTTTTTTGACAGAGGGATTTTATATTTGCCATGTTGGTAAAAAATAACGGTCAAAATTCAAAGTTATTCATTTTATAGACTATACAAGTGAATATTCAACAAGTTCTACACTTGTTACAGTTGTAGATTTTGAGTTACAGGCCCCTGGTGGAATAAAACAAAGAAATTTCTAATTTGAAATTGGCAGATTAAGATTATAAAACTGTTGAGATAACATTAATTAATTACATATTTTCCGTAATTACCTTTATTGTTTAAAATCATGCGATATCAACAAGCGATATAAGTACAAGATGGTTTTTTATCGAACTAAATCCGATTTATGATACACTCGTAAAATAAGTAGGTATATTATTTTATTAACTCGAGTAAACAACGTGATTACAGTTCGAAGGTGGTAGACAAAGTGGAATTTGTAATAAAATAATTTTAACGATATTTCACGAGGTTCAGTTCTGGGAAAAAAGCTGGGTATTTTGCCTGTGAAACAGATTGTAGATTATATGGGAAGTGTCCCACTTTCTTTGGTTTTAACTCTTTATACAGTTCAGTCTCCGGGCTTTGACAAAAGCCAGTATCTGAGACGGTTTAGATCGTTTGCTTTTTCATGGCCTTGTATTCCTTGGAGAGTTGGCATTCAGAGTAGGAGGACTTCTGAAACAAATATAAATATTATATATTTTTTTAAATGCTTCTGAGTAATGCTTCTGAGAAAACTTCTAACCAACAGAAGGCGGTAAACGTGTTAAGTGTTGTCAAAAAGAAAAAAATATATAAATAAATGCCATTATTGTCAAAAAATTTTACAATTTGTAGACAAAGGTAAAGTAAGCAAACAAAAGAGAATACAAAACAAGTATACTAATTACATTGTCAGTCTTATTGTTTAAAATAAACATTTATAAATGTTTACAATGTCAAAGAATAAAAAAGTTAAAATATGATTCAAAAATATTTAGTAAGTTTATAGTATAGTAATAGCAAATATTAGACCAGTGTTTACAACATCAAATTCGATTATCAAAATATAAGTCATTTCAATGCTTTGCGGCATGAAGAAAATGATGTTATGGAATGGATTTGATTTCAAATGGCAATTGATTGTGCATTTTTTTTCGAGTTGTATAATATTGAACTTTTAACTGACTCTGAGCGTGGGGTAGGTAGATAAAGATCTTGCTCCACGTTCCTGAGTGGATAAGTGTGAGGGGCCCTTTCTTGAGAAGCTGATACATGCTTACGTATTAGGCAAACGGATTCAAATATAAATAAGGAAGGAAGAGTTAATATTTTTAACTTTTTAAAAAAATCCTGGTAATGAGTTCTGCTGTTTAGTCCCAGTGAATAACGATCAGCTCTGTTCTGGAGCTTGAAAATGCGGTCAAATTGAGTCGCACAACACGTACCCCAGAATGGAAGGGCATATCTGAGGTGCGACTCAAAAAGTGCATAATAAACAGTTCTAGCCACTGACAAGTTAAGCTCCTTAGAAACAGATCTTAATGCAAAACAGGCAGAGCTTAATTTTTTCGACAAAGCAGATATGCACGTCCCATTTTAGAGAATTGTCTACAACAAGCCCTAAGAATTTTACAGATTTTACGACTTCAATGTTGGTGTTGTTAAGTACAAAAGGCTGCAGCGAGTTATTATACGACCAAGTTTAGTTTTAGAAATGTTGAGACTAAGGAGGTTCGAATCGCACCAAGATTTAATGGTGATTAAGTCATTTGATATAATCCTATGAAGTGCCGTGACGTCCTTGTTGCCTCTCATTCTTCATCTAATCTCTCAATTATCATCCGTAATATAAAAAAAATGTTTAGAATGGCAATTTCTCAAAAACAGACTAAACCACAAAATTAAAATATTTAAATTCTCTTCAAATTTCATTGAGTTTTAAAAATAAAGATGTTGTCATTAACTAAAAAGTACTTTTCAGTTAATTGTCAAAGTTTAAGTACTAGCTTTTCAGACATGGAGATAGAACACCCAGTACAGCTGGTTTATGGAACAGTAATCCATATTACAACGAAAGTTATTACAAGCCCTACGGATATGCCCAACTCACAAATGCAAGTATCTTAATAATAACTCAAATATTTCTTAATATATCATATACAGGGTGTTAAAAAATAGTGTATTTAACACCAAAGTGTGGTGATTATACAGATAAAAAACAAAAATGCTTATGAACATATGTATATGCCCTAATATGCTTCCCTGAAGTCATTCGCTTTGGCATTAAAATGTGTCTAAAATTTCAAAAAAAAAAATTTACCAATGTTCTTAAAATAAACAAAATATGTTATTTTTATTGACCCTTTCGAAGGCCTTTAGAAACTTTTTTACTTTAATCTGTAGAATCACCCACCGCAGTTTACACTATTTTTCCTACACCTTGTATATTTTAATATCTTCTAAAGGATGGAAAACGAAGAATGTACAACGTGGGTCTAGAGCTACGCAAGAGATACGACGAATTTTTGGGAAAAACCTGGGAAATTGGAGTTCTAGACGCTTGGTCAACTAACTATAACAGAACGAAAATGTCTACGTCCCTTGTCTTGGCAGGACTCTATCCTCCAAACAGCTGTTTGATATGGAAAAAAGACTTGGCTTGGCAACCGATCCCTTACAATTATTTACCAGTTCCTGATGATAGAGTAAGTGAATATGAGCAAATGAGCATATAATTTTTCGTTGAGTAATATTAATTTAATCTGTACAACTGTGTCCTGTTGAATAGAGCAATTTTTATCTATTTACTTATTAGTAGATTGGATTTCATCATGACAATTTTTACTCTCAAGAGCTTCAGCCGTGGAGGGAGCATTCGTTCTGTATATCGTTCATCCAGTCAATTATTGTCTTTGTACTATTAAGTGTAGATTGTAGTATTTGTCTCTGCAGATAACGTGTCTCACTTGGAAGTGTTCTGGTCTTTATTGTATTCACTACTTAAGTATATTCATTTAATTCTCATTCTTCATCTAATCTCTCATTTGATCTCGTTCTCAATTATCATCATTTTTATTTTATCTGATATGATTAATAAAAGGACAATGATCCAAAAAGAATATACCGATCTGGTATATTCAACATTTCTTGCAATTGCTGTAACGTATTTGCAACTAGAGCAGTTTCATCAGCGTATTGAAGTTTTGTGATGAATTTTGTACGTGTTTTTACCCTGACTCTTTTTATGTTGAACAGACCACCGTCGTATCTGTATCTAATGCCCAAACCTCTCTCCTGTAGTTTCCTGTCCACTATAATGGAGAGCGCTGCCATCTGCCATGAATATGTTGAATAGGAGAGGCGCTAAGGCACATCCCTGCCTAACTCCTGTGTTTGTTAGGAAGGGATCACTCAGTGATCCATGATGTGAGGTGGCACTCTTGATTTGTTGTTGTTATGGAGGCTTTTACACACTGTAAGAAATTTGTTGGGTACTCCGAACTTTTTCGTAATTGTAATTGTATCTCGGCTGTTAGGTCGTTTTGTTAGGTTGATAAATGCAACATAAAGTTTAGACTGCTGCTCTTTTACTTTTTCCTGTAGTTGGCGGATGGAGAATATGGAATCGACGATGCCGCGGTTAGTGCGAAAATCCGTTTGCGATTCTGGGAGGATTTTTTCTATATGTGGGTGCAGGCGGTTTGACATAATTTTTGCAAGCATTTTTCCTCCAATAGCCAGTAATGAAATTCACCGGTAGTTTCCGCAGTTTGATGCACTTCCTTTGTTCTTAAATATATTCACTATATTCGCGTTGCAAAAGTGCTGAGGTACCTCTCCGCTTTCCCATATGAAGAGAGCCCTAAGATTACCAATAAGTTCTTTACTTGCACATTTATAGATTTCCGCCGGATTGATTTGTTGTTTTTAAGCTGTTTTATGGATTCCTTTATTTCCTGATCTGTTATTGGGATATATAATACATCGAGGCTGTTATACTGAGGTATTGTGTTGAGTGCTTCTATATTGGGGTTGTTTTCTTGGTTAAGGATATGACAGTAATGATTTTTCCAGCGGTTTCTTATATGCTCTTCCTCTTTTAAAACTTCGCCATTCTTCACCATGATTGGGCAGTTTGCCTTCTTAGTTGAGCCGTATACTTCTTTTACAGCCTCGAAAAATTTACGATAGTCGTGATGCGTAGCATACTCTTGAATCTGATTAGCTTTTTGTGACCACCAGTTATTCTTTAATTGGTGCAGGTTTCTTCGAAGCGTGTTGTTGGCTGCTTTAAAGTTGTCTGCTAGTCTTTGATTGTATGGATTTGCGGTGACTGCTTGATGTGCTCTACGCTTTTGTTCCAACGAAGCCTGTATATGCGGTTGATTTTCGTTAAACCAGTCTGGTTGTTTGTTTTTGTTGGATTTTCCCAGTACTGTTTTCCCAGTGATGTCGACAGCTTAAGTGAAAAGCAAATGTATTAAAAAGAGATAAAAGTTGGGTTGATACATTTCTTCCGGTATTGCCGGATTTTGCATCAAAATTTCAAAGTAAACGTTTATGGAAAATGTTGCACCTAGGTTTGGAACTTTATTCTTATCACACTTAGTTACACATTTTACTACAGCTGTAATAGATTATACATATTTATCTATTTCTTGTATTTTACAGGAACTATCTTCATGGGCATGCCCGACCGTTGTTCCTTTGATATACAACACTTCAAGCACTGCCGAAAGACTTAGTGCTTATGACGGTTTAATAAAGACCCTTTCAGAGGGTACTGGCCGAGATCTGGATTACATAGATGCTCTAGATTTGTACTTCGGAATGTTAATACAGGTATAATGTTGACATTAATGTTATTTTGATATTTACACATTTCTTTACCAACTAACTGGATATTGTAGCACATATTTGAAAAATATTTGTGCTAATATACAGGGCAATTCCAAATTATTTCTACACTAGATTTGAATTTTTTTAAAAATTACTAGGTATTATATATTATTTTCAGTAAATTAATCATAAAACTGTTCTGAAAAAAAATCATATAGAGCTTTTTTAGAATATTGGGCATTTCTAAATGACAAAACGTTTTACAGAGTCAACTAGGCTTTCCATTACAAAACTGGACTGAAGCTATATATCCCGAACCACTCAAAACATATATCATAGATTTTTATTACATTGAGACCAGTACGCAAGCATTAAAGAAAGTTATAGCAGGTAAACTAAATATTCATATTTCAACAATAATGCTTAGAATAATAAATACATTACTCAAAACAATTATCGCATATTTGAATAAAAGTAATTAATACATATTTCTAAATGAAGCATGCATTTTCTGCCTTTCTCTTGTGAGTTTTTTTTAGAATAATTAGGATAGGCACTAACATGTCATTTTTAGTCAAGCGACTATTTAGTTGCAAAAGTGAAAACAATACATTCTTACGGAGCCGATCGGCTCAATATTTTATTACATTGGCGACAGACAATTTTTAATCGATCCACTATTTAGTTGCATATTTGTAACCGATATATCCATATGGAGCCGCGCTCACATGCAACCAAATAATCGACCGATCGACTTCATAAGTATGTATTGTTTTCAATTTTGCAACTAAATAGTCGGCCAACTAAGAATTACAGGTTAGAGCATAGGCTTATTGTATCGAATTTCCCTTCACAATGTCCATACTATTTAAAATCGTAAGTCACGGAATTCAAAGTGTCTTGTTTTTTAAATTAATAATATTTTTTAGAAAATACGTGATAATTGTGTTTTGAGTAGTTTATTTAATAATAATTAGACTAGCTCCTAATTTAAGTTTATTATAATATGTACTTATTCTTATTCCTATTATATTTTTGTTTTTACCTACAGGGTATCTTGTTAAGAAAATTATTAGCGATACTCAGAAAAAAATTAATGGAACTTTGACACCTGAAAATAGAAAGCTTTTCTTGTATTCTGCCCACGAGACAAACCTAGGTACTGTCATTGCTGCACTGGAACTAACAAATCTGACGGAAATTCCAGGCTATGGGTCGTATTTGACATTTGAAGTTCACAATATCGACAATGTTTATGGAATAAAGGTAGCTAGCTAAATTAGATATTATTTTACTCGGATAGTACAATTCACAGCCTATTCAGTACCAGCCGATTAACTACGCGTGTATACTACAGTAGTATCTTACTGTGCCTAGATCGAAAATTTCTATGTAACAGACTAAAAGTTGAACAGCTGGTACTGAATAAGCTGTGGTACTAATATTCCTTTTCTGATACTGTGCTAACAATTACAAAAAGTCGTACAATTCTGTGTAACTAAAACAATTTTTTTTACATTCAAATTGTATAAGACAAGCGTCTTTAAAAAAAATTAGAATAAATCTAGCAGAACTCTAGTATAATTTGTTAAAAATATACATTGATAGTTGATTTAAAATTTTCTCATTATCATAGTAAATAATTCGAAATTGTTGATTAACAAGTAATTTGAGATATGTAATTTTCGTTTTTGTTTTAGATATTTTTTCAGAACTACGAAAGTGAAGATCCTATTCTACTTACACTGCCAGGTTGTCAAGAATTTTGTCCCTTTGATGATTTTGTAAATCTGACTGCCGACATTATACCCTTATCTGATAGCGAGTGTACCGGCTGAAAAAAGAATATTTGACATTTTTTTAAATAAATCTCATATGAGAAAGATTTATTATTTATTTTCCTACTACCTGTTATACCCATACAATAGCTAAAAACAAATAATTCGTTTATTAAATTACTATAATAGTTATAACAGAGAACGTTCCTATCGCGACGAGGAAATGTATAAGGACAAACAGGAATGACACTCTAAACATTTCTTTTTGCTTTTTTTAATGTAGAATGTAGAATGAGTAAGAGGGGGGGGGGTAATCACTGCGACCTTAAAGATCTATTGTGCCCCCCTTCCTTGAGTCATCACAGTCTATAATCCATCATACCACTGTTGTAGAGGGGACAGGGTATTTCCCATCCTCTTCTGGCAACAGTTCTTCCTCCGAGGGTACACACCCTTCTACGGTTGGAGTTTGGCCCTCCGTGCCGCCCTTCACAGTCGAGGAGCTTAGTTGAGATGGAGCTGAGGTTAGGTTAGGTTAGGTGGAGGCTAGAGGATCTGTCTCCATTTTCTCCACCTTTTTAACTTGGTCTCTCCTTAGCTTAGACCTAATACCGGTGTTGTCCCGTATCTATAATAGAGGATATGTCCCTCTTTCTCTATTGCCTCCTTGGATTTGAGGTCAATTCCTATTGTGAGGACCTGACCACGACCCTCCTCCCTCGAGTTGATGACTCGCCAACTCGATGTCCTTACATTGAAGTTCTTGAGATACACAATCTATGAGGATCATGCCCACCCGAAAGTGTATCCCCGCAAAACGCAGCTGACCCACATTTTGTAGATCGTTGTGTTGCGATCCGATCGCCACTACTTCATCCAGTATAGCCTCTTCTAGAGACGTTTGTTGGTCGGTGTCAGAGCAACCTCTAGGAAATCCTTTGGCAGCACCGTCATTTTCACTTGTCCAGCAATAGCGGCAAAGCTGGTTGCCTCCCGGTGCTGGACGGCTTTCCATCCTGGCTTTTATAGGGCTATTATATACCGATCTGGTCATCGAAACTGCGTGATTTGGATTTTACCATGTAAGACAGTGATGCCCGCAGGTTAAGGAAAAATCAAATGTATTAAAAAGAGATAAGGTAGATATTGCCGGATTTTGCATCGAAATTTCAAACCGCACAAGTAGGAGTTTACCAAAAATGTTGCATCTAGGGTTGGAACTTTTATTTTCACAATTAGTTACTCATTTTACAATAGCTCTAATAGATTATGTTTAGCTTAGATATATTATTTTCATTTCAGTAGTGTACATAACAAATTTTAAAATAGTTTTTTTTTCTACACACATAAAAACCGGCAACACTGTATGCCGCTTCTTATTTTGTCTCTCTGTCCCTCAACCGGTCAGTTATATTTATCTCTATCGCATGCATTAAAATAGAGATCACGTAGATAAAGTGTGTAGGATGGTATATTTAGTTAACTGATCTGTCGTTTTAATTTGAAAATTGCAGTATGTAGTGTTGATAAGTACTCTGCAATATAAATTATACTCAGAAAAACAGGTAACGTGTTCTGAATACCTATATTTTCTCATTTTTTTCCTCATTTTGTATCAAACGTTCTCAAAATTCTAATTTTTCTCGAGAATAATAAGAAAAAACGAGAAAATTCACAGTAAAATTTAAAAAATAATTGGATTCACTTTCTAACGCGGTATTATAAATTCTCGGCATTAGGCTTTTTTTCAGGTATATTCTTGTTCTTTCATGGGGAACGTTCTCCAAAAATAAATTCTTGAGAATTTTACAAGATTAGTTGCTAATTGTTAGTATTCTTCTGTTCATTATTTTAAAACCAGAGAAATCAGAACTTAATGACAATATGGTGAATGAAAATAATTTAAAGACGATATTCAACAATTTTATTTCAGCTAAATGGACTGAGTACTGAGTCAATTTTTAATTGTTTTTGTATGGGAATAAAAGAATATCTCAATAAAGAAGGTTCAATTTAAAATCAAACTGAATGTTTAATAACTTATTTAAATAATATTGACATTAAGAAACTGTCGTTCCAAAAAATAGGATTCTTGTACACCAAATGGCGAATGAGCTTTAGTTTAGGTTTATTTAGTTATTTGAATTAATAATAAATGTAGAGTAAATAAAGTACAGAAAATTATTCTAAAAAATTAATTGAGATAAGAATCAAAAATTAAATTTAATTATTTATTATTAATTGTTTATTAAGCAACGTGTCTCTCGTTTAAATATTTTTAAATATGTGAAATACAACCATTTACTGCACTAGATTTTGTAAAAATCATTATAATAAAACTTTTGCGACTAAATGGTGAAGGTATTTTTTAGAGAAAATTAAAAAAAAAACATGAAAATATAGTAAATGATTTTTTTCTGAAGTCCTAAAAATCAAAAGGCGTTTCTATGGTAACATCATTTAGATTTCATTTTCGGATAGATGGATATTATTAATTTCCATTAATGTCATATTTCCTACTGTTGTTAAAGTATCACATTTTCCGTTCTATTATCAACCTTTCCGTAGAAATAAACTAAATAAATTTTCTTTAATATTTTAAAACAGTAAAAAATATGACGGTAATTAAAATTCTATTAATAAGAATCTGTCAAAGAGTGAAATCGAAATGAAGGAATAATTAAGCCCTTAGATACATCATAAAATATAGAATATATAACATGCCATACACTTATAAAAAACAAAAAAACTCAATCACATTTACACACCTATATAGCAAGAAAAATATGGAGAAATATAAAAATATCACCAGTGAAACACATAATACGAGTGAAGAAAAGAATGAGTAAAAAACAATTTTATGATGAAACAAAGAATTACTTAGTATTTCATCAAATCTTTGAATTGAGAAACAGTATCAGCAAACGATCTGCCCTTCATAATTGGCTGATGCACGGGAAAAGTAGTATAATTCGAAATTTGGGAAAAATGAGTTAAGTTGCGACACCGTTTCTAAAAATGACTATTTTCGTTGGGTAAAGTAGTATAACTCCTTCTCAATGGTAAAAGGTAGATACAAAATGTTCGATTAGTATAAGTCAATAAACCTTTTTTTATCGAGCGGGAAAAAAAGAATAAGTCTACTTATACTATTTTACACGGTTAGCCTATCATAAATTGTTACGACTTATACTAATTTTCACATCCCTGTAAGTACGTCATAACGGAATTTTGCGTGAACAGACTTCGTGACTTTGCGTGACATGTTTTCAGGACACTTTTGATTTTTCAAATGGGTATATCACTACAGTTTTGATCAAAAAAAATAGTTCAATATTAGGAATTATAGAAGATGACAGACGAGGGTCAGCAGCTCCAAAAAATAAAATTAGTGCTCCAGACATTGATTTGGTGAAAAACATATTCTCGATATTCCCGCATATGAGAGCCATTACTGCCGACAGCAATCAACATGGAAGTACTTACCTCCGCATTACACGCTTTCGTGCATGTTAATAATATGTTAAATGGAATATCGGAAATAGGATTGTTACCCGGAAGATTTACGAGAGTGTTTTTAAACTATGAATATCAAAATAAAAAGTCCTCAAAAAGACACCTGCCAGAGTTGCGATATATCAACAATGTTAATAAAGGCAACTAAAGATGAAGTGGACATCTCAGAATATCAGGAAAAACTAAGAAAGCATCAAGAAGATGCTGAGACTGCTTACAATCAAAAAAAGATAGACAAAGATAAATTCAAAAACGACAAAAGTAACCTTCGTACAAAACACATAACGACAAAGTAACCTATACCTTCGATTTACAATAGTGTCTACCAACACCTTCTCTTGCTACCTCTGTTGCTTTCTATAAACGGCAATTGTGGGCGTTTAACTTGACAATCCACAGATGTAATGACAACTCTTCTTTTAATATGATGTGGCATGAGGCCATATCAAGTCGAGGGGCTAATAATATTGCATCATATCTCTTCAAACACTTAAGTGAATGCCTTTCTCCAGAAGTAAAACAGGTCACCTTATATTCAGATACGTGCTCCGGCCAAAATAAAAACTGGCATTTAGCTGTCATGTTCACTATATTACTTCAAAAAGTGAAGCACTTAAAAACTCTGGATTACAAGTTCCTTGTATCTGGCCACACACACATGGAATCAGATTGGGATCATTCAGTCATTGAAAAAAAGAAGTCTAAATACGAATCACCAATACATCATCCTCCAGACTGGTACCAACTTGTGCGTTTATGTGGAAAGTCTAAACAATTTTCAGTCACTGCGATGAATAAGGAAGATTTTTTCGATTTTGCTAGTTTGCTGAACACCAATTTTCAGAAAAAAAAATGACGACCTGGGAGAGAAAATTATTTGGCAAAATATAAAATGACTTCGATACGAAAAAGATGTGGGTGTTGTCAAGTAAAAAGAAACTTTAGATCCTGAGGAGAGATCCAAGACTAATCAACTAAAAAGGCATCCGACAGGATAAAAAAATTGGCATACCTGCAATCATCAAGTCTCCAAATCCAATCAGCCAAGAAAAAAACAAAATTTGCTTGAGTTACTGCCCTACATAGACGAAACCTTCCACGTCTTTTACCGAAGTCTAGTGACGAAAAAATCAGTCAAGGACGCACTTGTTGCCGACGACATTCATGAAGAAGAAAATTAAATTTAATATTCTACCTGTGTTCGTGTTTTACTAGTTTTGTAATAATTATTTTTTTAATAAAAAGATCTTAATGAAAATACTGCGAGTTTTAAAGTCTTGTGTCAAATAGTATAAGTGATTCATACTTCGTGTTAAATAGTATAAGTCATCAAATTTTCTATTTTTCATTATGAAAATAACCAAGAATCGTTGTACAATATGTAATAATGGAAATATTGTGAAATTTTGACTTATCAATAAATAAATACACCAGATATATTTTTTCTCTGATTTCAGAACTAAGAACAAACTTAAATCATGCATAACTCAAAACAACGATTTTCGACTTATACTACTTTTCACGCGCATCAGCCAATTACCCACAGACAAATTTATATT